TACCCTACCTAGTTCCTACCCATAAATCACGTGACTATACCTATACCCTACCCTACCCTACCCATCCGCCAGCCTACTTGGTGATGTGGGACACTTGGTGATAGTTTAGGTTAGATAAGAAATAGAAAGGATTTTAATACTAATATTAAAGCTGCTATACTAGTTACTATACTAAATTATAATATCTAAGTTTATTACTAAGGTTTAAAATTTCTTAGTCTACTAGTTAAAAAAATAAGTACCTTAAATAATAGGAATTTTAAAAAACTATTTACTATAAAGTTATAGAAAATTAAAATTAACCTATAGTAATTCTAATAAAGTACTTCTATTTCTTAGCTAGATAAAGAGTTATCTAGCTTTAAAGATGCTAGATTTTGCTACTTTTACTAGTAAAAAGCAGGCGTTGTGTGACTCCGGGCGTTGCGCGCACAGACACGGTAGTTTCTCCAGCCGTTTCTGCATCTTCTCATTAATGCCGATCCTCGTCAAATTATCATCAAATCCATGAGTTCGACGTCGCAATGGTTGCAGGCGGAAGTGTTGGACGTCATGGAAGAGCTTGTGAGCACAACTGACACGAGATAGTATAGTAATACGCCTGCGGTGTCGCTGGTCGCAGGCGGAATCGCAAGAGGAGTAGAGAGCTTTCTTTTTTAACGTTAATTAATTATGCCGAGCGATTTTTGTGAACCGATCTAGTGTTTGGTAGCTTCAAGTACCCTGTTCATCAAACCTATAGTAGTTACGCTATTACGAGTTGAAATAGGCAGTACACTCCAGATATAAAGTGTTGCGCCGCTCTAGGCCCCAAACTGCGTCGCATCATTGCGTATACTGTGGTCTGACCTCGGTCGTGCCTTGTCAGCTGAACAACCCCACAGTGTGCCACCAATACTTGGCATTGACAGCTATACTTACGATATCTGCAACTTCTTCCACTCCGAAATGTTCGCAAATCCCCATTTTCTTTCCATACCACATAATGCCGATCTGCTCCACCTGCAGGGCCATCGACCTGCCTCTCATCTTGGAAAATTACAAGTGGTCCCAAACAACCGGTCGCAGTACACTCGGCCGGACCTTTCCCCACCACGAGACATATGCTGCTTTGCGGGCTTCGGCGGAAGATTGCGCCTCGTGCGCAATCTTCTACGAACCTACGAATGCAGACCCAAAGTATCCGAATAAACCAGGCATTGGCGAAGAGGACCCTGTGACGTTGAGATTGAATAGAGATTCCAACTACAACAGTCGGGTCGAACTAATTGGCGCCTTACAGCTGTGTGTTGATGTGTGGTCGAAGACGGAAAGACACAGAGGTGTTGTGTCTTACGGCAAGTACGTGGACGTCTGGGCTGACGATGGTACGGCACTTCATGGACAGTTGCCGTTGGAGCTTATTTAATCAGTAGATACGGATGCTTCGCTTGCAGCAATTATACTAAATCGAAGAGCGCCGAGAGTGGATTTCTCGCATCTGCCGTTCCGGTGGCTGGAGCATTGTATGATTAATCATCCGAATTGCAGGGTCAAGAAAAGAACGCTACATGATGCGCGTTTAGGTGAAGTCGTTGCGTTGCCGTCGCGGATTGTGGATGTCGGGGCGGATGGATCGCAAGAGCTCCGATTACTCGAGAGTGAAGGTATGAAAGGGACATATCTAACACTAAGCCACTGCTGGGGAGGCGGCGTCGCAGTGAAGACGCTGCTTTCGAATCTAGACGACTACAAAAAACGCATACCGATGCATGTACTGAGTGCAAATCTGAGAGACGCGGTGCTGACTACTCGTCGTCTCGGGTTCCGCTACCTCTGGATAGATTCATTGTGCATCATTCAAGACAGCACAGCAGACTGGGAAATCGAAGCTTCAAAGATGGCTCAGATTTATAATCGCTCTACCCTTACCATATCCGCGTCTCGCGCTCCATCCTCCGACACTGGATTTCTGCAAGGTACCAACGACGATGACACCAGATCGGGATTCGTACCTATATGTCATCCCCGCGGACTGGGAAGGTACTATTTTAACCAGCGCACACCTGAGTCGAGTTCGTACCTCACAGACGTCGAGCGCGGTCCGTTGAACAGACGGGGTTGGACACTCCAGGAACGCATCCTATCGCGCCGCAGTATCTTCTTCGGAGCGGCACAAATGCACTGGGAATGCCAGACGACCCGCTACTCTCAAAACACACAGCTCGAGCCCCAGGAATTCGAGAAGATGACTGGGGGTGTGTCGTCGCTTCGCAGCATTCTCAACCTCGATACTGGTACTGGTACAGGGGCAACAAGAGAGCAAGAAACGTTAAAATTGTGGTATGAAGTTCTATCGCAGTTCGTGGAGAGAAACCTCACGTTCCCGGATGACAAGTTACCTGCGCTATCGGGGATTGTGTCGGTGTTCGACGAGGCGTTGCCAAGGCCTGCATCGGGGAGTCGTACTGGTGATGAGGATCGGAAAACCAGCTACGTAGCCGGACTCTGGAAACAGGATATACCCCGCGGACTGATGTGGATGATTCCTCCTCAGCCCAAGACGCGCGTTCCATCGTGGTCGTGGAGTTGTGTAGACTCACGAGTTTGGCTCATGCGCACGATGAAGCAACCGGTTTGCGATATTAGCTCTATTTCTGTTACTGTCGCAGCGACGGGGAACAATCGCTACGGACGCGTGGAGTCTGCAATACTGAGCTTTGAAGGCTTGATACGTGAGGTACCAAGACTGGAGAAAAGGGCGCCGAGCTTTCCGGAGTGGGATAAGGAGAAAAATTATCTGTATCCCAATTCGCTGCTTAAAGATGAGTTTGGCGAGGTTATTGGGAAGGCGTACTTGGATGAGGAGTTGTTTGAAGGGGTGGAGACGGGCACGTGTGCGGATGAGTACATCGTGTTTGTTTTGCAAATCCGACATAATGGCGATGTCAGTCATCGTAATGGCAAGGCAGAGGCGTTGCTTGTTTGCGTGGTGGATGAGGATGAGGGAATATATGAGCGTGTGGGACTCGTGGAGACTGAACTTGTGACGAGGGGATGGGAGGCTAGGAGCGCAAAGAGTGCAAGCGTAGAGGGGGAGAGAGGTGCGTATGAACGGTTTTTGAGGGGGGCGAAGTGGGAGAAAGTACAGCTCATGTGAGGAGGTGGTAATAGAGTAGTACTATGAAGTAAATTCGTTAATTCAGGAGGTACAAATGTCATGTTGAGCCGCCTTGCTTCTGCCCACAGAACTTCAATGGCATTCTTACCATTGAATCACACCAGATTACGGTAGCCACAAGAACACCCACACATCGCTCAACTCACTCCACATCCAAAGTCATCTCACACGCAATTACAGCCTCGTAGCGCGCTAGTCCCTATAGCACTCTGAAAGGCAAGAGAAATCCTTGCGCAGCTAGTAGTTGCTTCTTTTATAGCTACAGGTGTTGCTAGCACTTTTTTTTAAACTGTGCATACAGTCGACTGTTTCTGCTATCTGAGAGGTAGGGTGGGCGCATTGGACAAGTCTGGCGCCCATTGACGCAGGAACGAAGTCTTCGGACGTCCTGCGATAATTTAAATCTACTGTTTTTGCTGTAGTATTTATGTCATAAATAGAGAGGGAGCAATTGGTCAAGGGAGAACCTAGCTCACCAGAGGCGTAGTTCCCGAGAACGAGAAAGCGTACCGCGGCATCCCCAAAACAGTACCACGACAGACGGCGAGTCGGACAGGAGAACTTGTTTTCAACGTCCTATTATCGTATGTAGAAGAAGATGATGATTTTGCTCGATATAATACCAGTGAATCGATCTTGTCCATCCTCATCCCTCCCTAGTGACTGTCTTACGAGCAGCTCGTAACACTGTCAAATTTACCCAGACCCGCGAAATTCTTCTTCTCGTGTTCCGTAATAGCATCGACCTTCGCCGCACTCGCACTGCTCTTATCGAATCTGTATCCAAGCCACTCCCTGATCAGTCTCCTCGCCAGCTCCAGCCCAATGACCCTCTCACCCATACACAACACCTGCGCATCATTACTCAAGATCGACCTCTCTACACTGAAAGAATCGTGCGCAGTCACAGCCCGAATGCCAGGCACCTTGTTCGCACTGATCGCCACGCCCAATCCAGTGCCGCAGATCAGCACCGCGCGGTCTGCCTTGCCCTCAGCAACGAGCTTCGCCGCGTCGACGGCAACGTGGGGGTACGCTGTATCATCAGTCGTCTCGGGGACGCCGATGTCGATAATGTCTGAGACGAGATTCGATTTCTTGAGGTCGGCGATTATGGCGTTCTTGTAGCTGACGCCCGCACTGTCGCAGCCGACGACTATGCGGAGGGGGGAGGGAGCGGACATATTCGAATATCTTGTCTTCTGAGTTGGGGGGCTTAGAGGTCGGAGGTGTCGTACAGCTTCTCGATGCGGCCCTTGGTGCGGGTCGAGTCTTTCACGGTGTGTTTGGAGCTTGTTCCCGCGGTGCTGCGTTGGGAGGAGTATGTGAGTTCTCTCTCTGCGCTGTGGAGTTTCTTGCCGGTTTCTTCTTCGACGCCTTGCACGGTGCGGTTGACGAGATTTTCGAACGGTTTGCTGAGGTACTGGAGGTCTGTGTGGCCGACAGTTGGTCCTGTAGTTTCAATGACCCTCGTCTTCTCGCCCGGTTTGGAGTGGTCCTTGATGCGTTGGTAGATGTGGTCGGCTTGTGAATCGACGTTGAGAGAGAACAGGGCGCGTTTGGGAGCCATCTTAGCGGCCGGGGATCAATTGGTTTTGTTATCCGGGGTTGAGGCGGGTGAATGCAGCTGACAGGGGAATGAGGGGAACGCCACGGTGCGGAGGTTGCTTCTTTGGGTATGCCGGAGGGGCTTTGGCGAGGCGTCCGAGGAAGAGAAAACCGAGGTCGGTATTCGCGCCGAGGGTCGTTACCCTGTATTGTGGATTTATCCGTCGGTGCTCACGGTGCGAGTACAGTGAGTGTGTAGTCTCAGATTCAATTGACGATCAAGTTGAGGTTGAGATCAGCTTTAATGTGGAGCTGAGTGGGTACGTCATTGGCTTCAAGCAAGCTTCTCAGCTCTGATGGTCTGACACGATCGCATTACAACGATCATCAAGAGCTGACGAACTTCCAGTGGTTTCTGGAAGTTAGCGAGCATTGGCTCAATGGCCGTAGTAGAGCTTTGCTATCTAGGCAATACCGCCCCGTCAAATCAAACGGACAACCCTGACTTGCTGCGACAATCCGCCGGCTGATACAAAGAATGTAAAGAACTACATCAACCGGCGACAGAGCCATCCGTTGAGTAGATGTCCAGGAACAAGCTGGATCTACGCCTCTTCAACGGTTCGTCGTACGTCGAGTGCTTGCTATCATTCCTCGTATGTCCACGATACGCCACAGCCTCCCACCCTTCCAGCTTTGGGGCTCTCGAGAGCCTCCTGTGTCCCATCTGCGGCCTGGTATCGCGCGTAGGCGTCGTATTGAGTGACGCGACTGAGATATTCATCATCGGGTGGGCGGTCGCAGGGGCGAGCTGTCTGGCCTGAAGCGCGGTGTCCCTGCCCGTAGACCAGTTCCTGAATTTTCTCCAGCAGTCCTGTAGCACAATCTTCATCCTCTTCACTCGTCCTGGCTTTTCGTAACATTTGAGCCGCGAGTACACAGGGATAGTACGGCCGAGTCGTGCTTCGCACGACGGCTTCTTCTTACGCAGCGAACCCATTGTCTTCAAGGTCTTGCTCAGGCCATGGCTGACCGAGTTAACACGGACCCAGACTTTGCCAGATTCTCTCACAACTTCCGGGTGTCCTCGATAGTACTCTTCAGCTCTGTGGAAGAGCTCGGCGATGTCCTCGCGTGGCAGATCTGGTCCGACAGACAAAATTTCTGTTTCGTGTTCTGAAGAGTCCTGCTCGTCAAGAACCGGGGTGACAGCTGTCTCTGGAGACAGCGTAGGCTCTGAATTAGGTGTATATTGGTATTGGAGAGACGTAGAACTCTCGAACGCGGGAATGCCGCTCGGGACGTACGCAGCTGGCGGTGGTCTGGTCCATTGGCTGTGAGTCCTGTACAGTTTTGGTGCAGGTTCATACCTCCACGATTCTTCTGAGAAGCTCAAGCTCACGGATTGAATCTGTTGCAGCTGGGGACTCTCCGAGATTAGGACGAGCCGTTCTGATGATGACTTCCAAGACGTCGGGTGGTAAGTACGTATTAAATCCTCGAGGCTGCCTGTGCTACGAGTCGTAATGGGGCTCGCCTTGTACTCTTGAATTGGAGCCAACGGCCTCCTCCCTCTAAACGTCCTGAGGGAGGACCGCCGTGGAGGAATCGAGCCAGGAGGGCTTGAACTGATGCTTGGAGCAGTGTTGTGTCTGAAAGACTGCCATCTTCCATCTTTCTTCACCTGGGATAGGCTCTGGGCAACCTCAACCGCCATGATGAGCCCTGCTCAAAGCTGCAAAGGCCTGAATTTGCAGCATTGTGCGAAATCGTGGTATATACCTGGGTGCTAGGCTGCGCCGATAACGTAGCCAGTCGGGCCATGGTTAATGGAAAAGCACGTACCAGTCGAACCCATGGGAATCCGGGGAAGGCCCCTATGTATGCGACAGAGATGTGCGAAACGACTCCATGGCTAGCGAAGAATGTGCGGACCATGCGAAGATAAGACGGAACAGAGGTCATGTTTTGCGCCTAATCTGCAGTTGAACAGTCAAAGCTGGGGTTTTGCAGCACACTTGCTCGTCGAAGACGTTGTGCAGGTCCCTGATTGTGGGTTTGTGGTGTGATTGGCGGTGTACTTTGGTCAATCCCCAGAATGGCTGACCGTTGTTTACATCATTAACGATTGGACCAGCAAAGCATGCCCTCGAATATTCCCCAAGCCTCCTCTTACATGGTCGATACTACCTCAGCCGATGAAGTGATGCAGTAGCCTGTAGACTTCGGCAAAAGCTGGCGCAGCTAGCACGCTACCTCGAACAATTGTAGGAACGTCATGACTTGTAGATGGCCAAGCACAAACGCGTTCAGAGACCGAAACAAAACAAAAATCCAACATACCTCACGTCAGCTAGTGTAAGAGGCCCCATGCGGGCCCGACACCAAATTGTTCGAAGTGTATAGACCGGTTGAAGGCCTCCCGATGTGAGTGAGTAGCATTAATCATGGATGCAAGTCAGGTTCTCTTCAGGCATCAGTGCTCAAGCAGTCAAGACTTTTCAAGGACATGCGAAGGTGAACATTGCGCTGTAAATGAGCGAACAGACCATCGCAAGCGGCTTCCAAGCCAGTCGAAAGGGGAGGTGCTACACAGATTTCGTCCGTAAGAATCAGGATGTGAATCAAAGGTGCGAGCATTGTACTTCGAGCGAAACTTCGTATTGCGTTCTATTGGAGAACACTGGCGCCCTGCTTCACCAGAAAAAATAGCTGAGCGCTCGAGTGGCGGTCAACAATTGAGCAATGTAGCACGTTCACGAAGCTGTTTCGACGATTGGATGTACGACAAGAGCTCTTCCTACATAGCTCCAGTCATGCCAGGGCTGCCATGACGCTGATCTAGATGGTCGTAGTTGAGCTCAAACTCCCTCTGCAAATTAGTTAGCCTGAGTTTGGTGATTGGTGCCGCAGATACTTACGCGCTCACGTCTCCAGTTGGTGACATCGAAGAATAGGTACCATCCACGCTCCTCCTTGGGCGACAACCTTATCGGCGCCGGTAGATCGGGGTCCTTCATCATCCACTGCTTGAGCTGAATATGCCACCTCCAATCCCTGTTATAGAGCTCGGCCGCGGCAATCTCCTGCAATATATCTCGAGGGTGCTGATAGAAGATAGCTAGTAATGTCTCGGCAGAGAAGCTGGTCATCTTTGAGTGTAGTGGTGGTACGTTCGTGACGGTGTATGCCGCTGGAAGTGTGAAGTCAGGCGGTATTACAGGCTTGGCGTTGGCTTCGACGAAGGGCGATCCGAACGTCGGATGTAGAGGCGAATTACTGACTGCATTAGCTTTGCATCTTGATGAAGACTGTACACCTACTCTGGCCGGCTCAGATCCAGTCCCAAGACCGTCAGGTCTTGCCCCATGGCGAGCGAAGAGTAGTCTGGGCTCTCGAGGGGAATCATGGATAGCAAGCCTGGCAGGCCGTAGCGCTCCTGATCTGTCATCTCCGCGAGCTTCTTGTGAAGCGTTGTTTGTGTGTCCGGCGAGGCAACGCTGTCTGCACCGAAGCCTGACTCGAATTGCTGGGGCCGTTGCCCTGCCGGTGTGGCATCACCGCCACTGCGTCCGAGAAATGACAGGTTCCCCGGCGCCAGCCCTGTCCGCGGACCACCCTGCTCGTCATTAGATACATCACCAGGATGGGCTGGTGTACACACCTCCTGCTGGTTCGTCTGTGTCGCACGCATGCCTTCAAACGGTGTTCTTGATGTACCACCTGCAAGACTTCCGCCCACGGCAGCATTCGAAGATCGGTTGCCCTGGCTCTCGGTCGGACTCGTTAGGCCGTTTCGTGTCTGCCCTAGCCCTGGGAAAGCGCTCGCGCCTGGGGTCGCACCGAACGCAGCTGCATTCTGGATCAGACCTGCCCGTCGATCAGGCCCGATCTCTCCCGCAGTATTGTTCCCTAACGGCGGAAATTCTTCAATGTTGCCGGTCTGCGGTTGCACACCACCAGACAGCTGGCCAACGCCTCCTTGCCCACCAAAGCGGTAGTCGTCACCAGCACCACCGAACTGACCTTGCGGTGAATCTTCGTTGCTGAGGCCTTGCAGTTGTTGGTTGGGTATCTGTCCTTGCTGCCCTTGCTGTGGCGTTTGCCCTTGCGGACGCTGGATGGTCGTGTGCGGGGTGGTTCGGAGGGTAGGGTTCGCCCACAACTGCTGCGCGGTCGTGTTTTGTTGTGCTTGAGGGGCGCCAGACAACGACGGAAACTCCCTATAATCGCAAAAGTTTAGCAGATGTTCTTCATCCAAAGGGTTACCTGCTGCGAGGGACTACCGCTGCTGCTGGAATAGACGCTTCCGGAGCTGCGGCCTCCGTCTCTTGCCCTTCAGTCTCGGCATCGATATAGTGACTTACTCAAGGTTGAGCGGCGTCTGTGGCTGCGAATTCCCCATTGCTTGCGCAAAGCTCGACGCAGGCCCTCCGTTCGTTCGTGTTTGTGCTGCAGGTAGCCCTGATGCGCCTCCCGCCGGTCCAGTGAAAGCACCTGAGCCCCACTGAGCTTGCCCACCGCCTTGTCACACCCAAGTCAGCGACGCAAGTCCACGTATCCGGTCGATGTCTCCTCACCAAGCTTGCCGTTCTGGAGTCGGTTCGTGCCGAGTGGCTGACGGCTTTCGTTCTGTCGAATTTGGAACATGTTGGAAGGTGTATTGCGTAGTTGTTGCCCTGGTCCTGTCGGGAAGGAAGTTGTCAGCATTGAGATCGTTCAAGCGCATTTGACGGGGCCGAGCGTGAAAGGGTCGATGTAGCAAGGAGGGCGATCGAAGCGACAGTCGTGAAACATTGGAGCAGTTGTTCTAGCAGCCGGAAGCCGAGGAAGCTGGCTGAGCAGCTGCAGCGAAAGTATAGCATTTATGCACGTAATTTCGAGCTCGCCGTCGCAAAGGTGCAGGCGGCATATTGCATAGCTGGGGTAAACTAACCAGGATGGTTCATGCTGCAGAGATGCGTTTCGACCTGAGAGACGTGTACTTCTCAATTGTCGCCACCAAAGTTGGGCGACTTCACTTTGTCGTTGTTGGAGCTCGTCGCGTGGTGTTGCGAGGTTGATGCGATGCGACTAGGCGCTAGAGCCCTTTGGGCAAGCGCAGATCTTTGCAAGGCGGGGAGGAGCGAAGGGTGGGCCTCAGGCAGTCCGTGACGAGAAACAAGTGCTGGACAGCAAGGCTGCATCATGCATCTGCACGCGATCCGCATCGGCACTTTAAGACTCATCGCGTGGAAGCGCAAAGCGCAGCAGAAATTTTCATGTTTATCTCCCAGTTCTTCTTGCTGATGATGTGTTCCTAACCTTCCACAGTATTATCATTCAAGTCAGAGTACATTTTCAAGTAGACGGAATAGGAGCACTGATTTCCAACAACCCTGAGTAAATCTACTGCATGTAGATACCGATAGATCAACGCCAATGCTATGCAACCCTCTACAACATCATTCATAATCCCACAAGCGACTAAAGCCATCCAGAGGTACTCAGGGCGGACCGTGTTGAAACAGGTGCGACATATCAGCCTCGCCGTTGATGCCGAAGAAGTTGAACCAGTCGTCTACATTGAGACTCATGGGAACGACAGGGTTGTGTCTCCCGCCAGAGCTGTTGCTCCAAGTATCGTCTTGCGCGCCGTGCTGCTGCTGGTTCTGCTGCATCATCTCCATTTGTTGCGCCCATGCTTGTGGATTATTCTGGTCGAACTGGCCGTTCATAGAGTTTTGCATCTGCTGTTGAGACTGCTGTGATTGCGACTGCACGTTGTCATTGCTTTGTTGTTGTATGGCTATATTCTGAGGTTGTGACAGAGCTGGATCGACCAGCGACTGCGCCGGCTGAGGGAAGTTGACTTGAGTGTCTGCTGGGAACAACTGATCGGGCTGGAAATTTTGCCATACTTCTTGACTGATGTTGGGTGTGTCGCGAGTGATCAGGAAGAAATCGGGAGGCGTTCCCGGGTATGAGTACGAAGGGTTGAAGGGTGTGGTCGGACGGGTGCCTGAACGTGAAGGGCCCATAAAAGTGTCATGGTTGTGGCGGTTCATTTGCGGCGATCCAGCTGACATCTGAGGCATTTGCTGTGGCTGAGGTGGCAGCTCTCGTGAAGGCGTGACTGCAGGAGTCTGAGGTCTTGACCGCTCATATGAGACCTGAGCTGCTGGGGGTCCGTTGATCGTGGGGAAACCTCCAAAGTCCATCTCTTCAAACTTGCGCTTTGGTGCTTCCTGAGCCGGCTTTGGCGGAGGAGGTGGTACGCTGGATGGCTTGTTCTTCTTGTGATTCCGGCCAGCCGCCTTCTGCAGACGCTCTTCAAGATTTTTGTTTCCCAAGATGGACTCAAACAGAGTGTGTACCATCTTTGCGACAAGCCAGACCTTAGAAACCTCTTTCAGAGCATCCAGACAAATCTGCAGGCGCTGCTCTGTCGCCGATACAACTGACTTATTGGATGACTTCATCTGGTAGACGTGCATGATGAGAGCTGAAAACAAGCTGTACACGATGAAAGCTGGGGTGTATCGTATCTCATCGTGCGCTCGAAGATTTTCGATTATTGATGTTATCATAGCCGCAGCCTGATACGCGATGTTTCTGGATGGGTATGCGTGCTCTTCGCCAAAACCATCCAGGTTATTCGCCTTCGGTGATCCGGCTGGTGGCATATGCGCGCGGTGTAACAGGCAGAGCGTGGTATAGTAGTTCGAGTGCAATAACGCAGCCCAGAAATGGTGCCGTGTTCGATCCCACTGCACTTCCGGCGGGCAGTGTTGCAGCCAATCCGCGAGGGCCATGTCGCTGTGGGTCAAATCTATGGCATTCGCTCTGCGATACTTGGATGCCACCGAGTACTGCTGCGACAGAACTAACCCCATAATCTCGCTCAACTTGACGTAGTTGATGAAGAACTGAACATGGACGGGGTCTGGGGGATGCTCCGCCGGGCGATCTGTCTCGTCGTCAATGAAGTCGTCTTCTGAGATCATCTCTACGTCTGAGTCCTCTGGATCAATCGCAACTGGTCTGCCGAGGGCAACGGCTACCGAACGATCTCGGCTGTAGAGTGTCCACCAAATGCGCTTCCATAATCGCTTGTCTGAGCGGCTTAGTTGTGATCTCTCCACGCTGTCACAGTCAGTTTCATCCGGAATGTAGGAACCAAGCTTATTTACCTTCGGTGCATACCTGACCCTTGCGCTACAACGATAGCAACTCGAGTCCAGTAGAACACATTTTTCGTCACATCTGTAACCGTTTAGTCAAGTCAGTAGCCCATGGTTTCTTGTCGGTCTTACCCTCGGGACCTTCCCAATACCAGCCCATCAGAATCAGCGCCTGAACGATGGTGACTCGGTCATCTTCGAAATTGGCGTCAAAGAGGGCCTTTGCACGCTTGTAGAAGGTCATGGCAGCAGGCGTGGTCGAACCGCTCGAGTCCATCAACTGAGGGTTTGTGCAGACTCTCGAGCCAGCTAGAAGAACAGCCTGCAACAGAAGCAAAGACGGAGGGTTCTTTGGATCTCGGTACTGGCGCATGAATCGGCTGCGGTTAATCACAGGCACGACTGGGGCAACCCACTTGAAGAAGGCTTCGACAAGTTCGTCACACAACGCCCTCGGTGGCAGCAGGAAGGCGCCTCTTTGGTGCAGGATCTCGATCTCCATGTTGTCCATTTCATTCACGCGAGCTTTGGCACCGCGCACATTCTCAGGCAGCGGGTAGTGGACCACGTCTGTTGTTCCATAGCGATCATGGACTAGCAGTGAGAGGTTCGACGATTCACCCAGATATGCAACGCGGCCGGCTTCTTTTATCGGCGCCCGGGCAAACTTGGGCTTCATGAACTGCGCGTAGGTGCCATTGTGGGTGGCCTGCTGGGCGGCGTACTGTTGCGAGAAGTTGGTCGCAGGCGTGCCATTCTCGGAGTTGGAGACGGTCGTCTTGTCGCGAGGCTCGACCGACGTGCTGGCTGGCGAGCGGGCGTCATTGTTGTCGCCTGCTTCGCTCGCGCCGTCTGCCTCTTTGCTGCGCGACGTCTGGATCTTCTTGCGCTTCGGGGTGGGGATGCGGCATTCGATGGAGAAGGCGGTGCAGTTGGTGCAGGGGACGCCCAATGAGGCGGCATCGCATCGAACCTGCGCGGTGTTACTATCGCCACTCACGGCGTGCCGTGTTGTGATTACTCACTTTGCGCGAGTGGCACGCTGCACGCGTTGTTAGCATTTGTCGCATTCATCATCGCCAGACCGAGGTGCCGAGGCAGTCTTAAGCTAAGCTATAGGACCGCAGCTCGCCCGGTCTTCTTTCTTCAGGCACAGGAGCCTGCATAAAGACGGGGGTGGTACTCACTTTCGCATGCTCGCGAAGCGCGTTGCCTACGAAAACTCGGGCCCAGATTCGGCGCAGAAGTCGGGCTATGCCTGGTGTTGTGAGCGTCTTGCTGCCAGGGCGTGCCTGCGCACACGCGCGGGGCGACCTACGACGATGCGTCGTTGCTGGGCTGCGGAGCCAGAGGTGACGGTGCTGGAGGCTGCAGCGGCTGCGCCATGAAAGAATGCTCGCCCGACGCCATGTCGTCGTCTCTGAGTCGATGTTGGTGAGGGTTGCGACCTGGTCGACACGCGATCGAGCCCTGGAGACTGGAGTGTGCCTCAAGCGGTATGAGCTGCGCTAACCAAATAGTGGGCTCCGGCCTTGCACGGCGATCACCATACACCTCGCGAAACGGTGTTTTTCCTTTGTCTGGCTTCCACGAGTCGCGGTCGAGTGAACGTGAAAGTAATTCGAGACTGCGAGCTTCCGTATCTGCGATCTGGTCGGCGCCTTCCCCAGATCTTCTTGACGGGAAGGCGCATTCGTGTGCACTCCCCAGGGCCTCTCCTCGCCAAACCAGAGGTCCCTCCAATCGCAGACGTGATGCAGGTGTGTCTGCTGCACATCATCGCAACTCCATACCCACAGTATGCCGGGTGTCCCGTCACTCGCATGAGACAGGAACAGCTGCGCCGCGTCGGCAGTGAAATGACGAAGTTCCAGCATGTGCAAGTCGCAGGGGTGTGCCTCAGTTGGACGGGGTTGTCAATGTAAGCTAAATGTATGATTGCAGTCACTCCACATGCATGAGAAGCCTGTATTGGCAACGCCTGTCTACATCACTTTCGCTTCTGGGTTACTCTAGGCCGACACTGCTGCCGCTCTTTGCAGCTTGAACGCTTCGAGCTTGACATCTTTGTTCTCCTGTGAGATGTACTTGAGAAATACACTCCCTTCGGCGACCAGATCATTGACCACCTCATCCTCAGATGCCCATGCAAAGTGCTGGTGCTCGATTGGATCCAGAACAATGGCATCAAGGTTGTCCACCTCGAATTGGAAGATCAGCTGGAAGTAGTCAGCAGTGTTCCGCCCCGTCTTGGACCAACAAGGTACCTTCAGCCACGTTTTAGTTGGACGATTCCTCCGGCCGTCAGAGAATGTAAACTGCGCCACCTTTCTGACCGCCCGAGTTGCCGTAAGACCCGTCTCTTCCTTCAGCTCGCGGGCGGCGGCATGCAGTATTGTCTCGTCTGTATCATCCATCTTTCCTCCCGGGATTTCCTAGTATCGGTCAGCGCTCCGTTCGCTCGCACCTACTGTTGGAGGGAGTGAGAAGACTAATTTACCCAGAGGTCTGGAAATGCCTTCTCGTCTTTGGCACGCTGAACTAGAAGCAACTTCCCTTCCTTGTTGAAAACGACTGCGCCTGTACATATTATGTGGACATCACCGTGTTGGTCGAGGTGATCTTTCTCGGATATCGCATACTCTTGCAATGAAGATGTGAAGTCAAACGGTGGCGTGAAGGTAGTCATATTGACGGAAATAGGTTTGGAAACTGAGGAAGTGAATCTAACATGGCTAGCATCTGAGCAGGTATTTAAAGTAGTTGGGGCTGAACGCAGCTGCCTTGCCTTCCATCTTCACCGGTGCTTGGGCTTGTACGACAGTCAGGCGTTTGCTCCTGCAGTCCACGTTGCATTCGCTTGTACAGTAAAATCAGTGTTTCGCCATGACTTCTCCGTTCCAGAGGCTGTTGCTGTGAACGGCCCCGCACGCGGGCGCATGATATCGCGCTAACAACGCGCTTCTTTCTGCATGACAACATCGACTATACGCACAGTCGCCGCCCACCATACACAAACTCACGAGACGACCTTCATTCGAACGCGTATAACATAGATATCAGAATTTACGCGTCAACATTCGCTCGCGACCATGCCGCGACCAGCGCGCACCAAGATTCAGTCGAAAGTCACCACGACCACACGCGTCACGAAACCGACCGCGCCCAAGAAAGCTGCGCCAGCAACCACGAAACCTACCACAAAGCAGACCAGAAAAGCGACCGCAGCATTGCAGAGCTTTAGCGACGACAGCGATGGACTAGTCACTAATACAAGAGCTACTCGCGCGAAACGTGGTGCGCCGGCGCAAAGATCGCCAGATGTGGTCAACGACGTGGACTTAGAGATGACTGGCGCGCTTCCTACAGCGTCCGGTTTCCCTGCAACTACAATAAAGCCTCGCACGCCGGCATCTAAAGCGACCGCTGGAGCTCGTGCAATAAAAGGCAGTGCACGCCTGTCCGCAGCCAAGACGTCACCAGCAGTCGCTCAAACCCAGACACGTTCGCCCAGCGATCTTACAAGCCATGAAGCACAAGAGGAAGAAGACACCAGCGGTCTCGGGGATTTCACATTCTCGTCCCTGAACTCAGAGTCGCCAGCTCACGGTACACGTCCGCCATCTGCTGTAAAAGTAGGAGCAACCCCTGCGCACGAAACATCGATTCTGGCCTTGGCCAACTTCAAGAGGCGAGCCAGACAACCTAGTCTCCTTCGCATGGTTCAACAGACGACAGATATCGAAGACAACGATGAGTCTGGCCTGAGCAACACAGACAACTTCGACTTTGACGATTTTCTCCCTCCAGACGAATCTACACCAGTCAACAAACAGAGAACAACGACTGAAAAGGAAGGGGCGAATGACAGTGGCGCACATCTGTCGAGCTCCGGATCGCGTTGCAGAAAGCGCAAGGTGACTCCAGTCGTCCAAGTACCTCGTTCTTCTCCACCATTCGACCCACCGTCCGGTGCAGACGTGGAAGAATCACTGCGATCTCCTTCTCCAAGCCTCCCAGACGTTCTGCCCTCGCGCGAAGAGGTTGTTGCACAGACGCAAGACGACTCTGAGATACTCAGTCAGACACTCGCTCCGCCAAAGTCAAGTAGTCCTGTTCGTGAAGCCACGCCACCACAGATTTCGCCTCAGCAGGCTCGAGCACGCCGAAGAGGAAGGGCTGGCAAGCAGACGATGTACAACGAAGACTCCGCAGAAGAGACCGAGACAACAGCCAAGCAGAAGCGCAACGCAAAAGCAAGAGCTCAACCAGGCATATCCACAGCCCAGCTCAAGGGCCTTCTACCTCGTCGACGAAATCGTGTCCGCGCACAGGACGAGTACGACCTGACCTCTTCAGAGGACGTAACACAAGTCGACTCTGACCAGGACGAGTTGTCGATGCCAGCTCGACGGGCTCGGCAACGACCAGGTGCGGGCAAGCTCGCCTCGCCAAAGGCTTCCAAGAAGACGGCACGCGGCAAGAAGACTGCAACGTCCACGAAGGCAGCCAAGCCGGCCAGCAGAACCTACAGCCGTCGAATCTCTTCGGATAAGGAGAACGATGCTGCAGCAGAGGAGGACGAGGAGACGATAGAGCCTTCGGCTGTTGAGGTCTCGGATAGGCTGGCTGCCATTCGCAAGAGGTTCGAAGAGATCGACGACTTTGAACTCGAGTTTGCAACCGTCGACACAGTGACAAGCTCCAGTCCGTACAGATGAGACGAGGCTCATGATCCGATATTCAAACTTTTCGATTCCTCACGATTCAGGGCAGTACTTGGGGTTTTGGGTATGAGCAAGCATGGTGTTATTCGCGGAGGCTGTCTCGCGCCTGTCGTGTGTCCAGAGAGGGCAATATGTACTTGAAACACAGGCTCCGATGCTCTCACAGCTACACTGTCACCAAGTTCACCTCTCGTTCCTGAAGCTGTGATGCATTGCCCAACCAAGAAGGACCGACGGTGGCCGAATGGTGCACTACGTCAGTCTAGTCTTATCTGGCCTTATCTTGTACCGTATTGCGTGTACTTCGAAGCACGGCGACATGCTCCAGCCGTGAGCAAACAGCCAACGGTCCATTTGTCCATCTCCAATCAGTCGGCAGCAGTCTGCAGGTCTCGGGTGAGGCTCTTCAGTCGGTGAGGCTTGGTCGGCACGGCACCAAACGTCCGTCTTGGACCCTGCGCACGGCCTCGAAGCTTCCCCATCCGTTACGTACATCGCAATCGACCGTGGTCCCTCAGGCTTCGCTGGTGACTGTTTGCTCTTCTGGAGACACGACCAACTCGCACACTCGCCCTCCACACCGAGAATGCTACAGTAATGCTTCTTACCGGTCCACCCTTACGCCTGGCACATGCAGCTCCCCCGGACCCACCCCGCATGCCATGAACACCACCAATGGTTCCTCGTTGTCCACCTCTAAGAGCACCTCGACCCTGCGTCCGCGGACACGGCGGTTGATCTCCATCGAAGATGACACGTACGCGACCGATGACAGCGAAGACTTCAGCTCGCGGGCCGGCTCGAGGATAGCTTCGAGGACAGCGTCGCCGGCCAACGTCACTTCAGCGCCCTCAGCATTCCTCAGGTCCGCCGGCGTCCAAGCCTCGAAAGCTACTCGCGACACTTCGTCGACACTGTCGGGACTCTGGGGGAACTCCTGGTCAGCAGTCCAGGGCCTGGCGGCCAATGTCCTCGGCAGTGAAACAGCAGCCAGCGGTTCGGCTGCTGCTCGCCGACGCAGGCCTACCCACACGCGACGCACATCCACCAGTGCTCCGCCGCCAAAGCAATGGGGCCCCGCAGGCGCTGGCTCGCATGTAGGCGCTGGCACACACGAAGAGAGGGAGGCCATGGTGCGGGCTATGAAGCGCCGGGACCTGCTCAACGCTACCGAGCATCTCCAGCCCGACTCAATTGGCCGCATAAAGCGCAGGAACTCGGACGACCGCACGAATGCCTCCGCGCCCCCCGCCGAGAACGATCACGGCGACGCGCTGATATACATACACCGCGTCAAGAAGCAGGACACGCTTGCCGGCGTCTGCATCAAGTACAACTGCGAGCAAGCAGTGTTGCGCAAGGCCAATCGCATGTGGCCAAATGACACCATTCTCTCGAAGAAGACGATCGTGCTTCCGGTCGACGCTTGCGGGACAAAAGGACGGCCAGTACAAGGGCCAGATGCGCTGCCAGAAGAGGACCTGCTGCTTGGAGAATTCGCCGAGTCTTCAGGGAAGAAGCCAGACACCGACGGCCTACCCAATGGCTGGACCACGCCAAAGCAGAGAAGCACAGACTCCAGCTCCGTCGTATCCTCGAATGCCGCCGCCGACCAGCCCTGGACACACGACTCGTGGGTTCTTCTCCCCAACGACAAACAACCCACACAGATCGCCCGCATGCCCCGCCGTGCTCTGGGCTTCTTTCCACCTGCTCGCCGGAAATCTGTCGCCTACTCGGATGTCGCGTCCACGCCACGCGCCTCCGTCGACCTACCTCGCTCCTCGACCTCCACCAACCCCAACACGCACACAGGCTCGCCCTCGCAGCCGACCCGACCTCGCGCCTCAAGCAACATTTCCTCTCTCTCTGCACACAGCCGCCAACGCAGCACATCCGGCCAACAGCAGCCGCCGAAGCCCTGGCTCTCTGGCCCTGGCGGCGTCGGCACACTGGGTCGTAACGTACGCAGCCCGGGGCCCGCGCAAGACGGTCTGAACAAGATGTTCGCCGCGCACCTGCCCAACATGGCGCCCCCACCGGGCCAGGAATACTTCACGCCTTGGGCGCCCTCACTGCTTGACGCAGATGGCACACGCAGCTCAGGCATCGTTACGCCAGCGGGAGGAGACATCAATTTCCAGGAAATTGGCGGCGCGATAGAGGGTTGGGTCAGGAAAGTTGGATCCCAGGCGCAAAAATTGCTTGCCGAGCCTGGCACGCCGGGTGGAAGGCAGAAGGTCGTGCCTGGTGTAGGCGCGACTGGTGGCGGCCTGGGCGATTTGATTGAACTGCAGGACGATGCTTTTGAGATTGGCGATGGCGAGGATGATAGAGGACGATCGAGGGAGGGGCTGGTGGTGCCGAGCATCAATGCGGAAAGGAGTACGAGTAGACACTCTGCGGTCAGAGATTCTGCGATGAGAGCGCAGCAGTTCCAGAGCTCGAGGCAGGACTTCAATCTTGTGCTGAGGGAGAGAACGCGGAAGGGCGATGGCGGCAAGACGGATTGAGATGCTCTGGTTCAGACACCAATCACTTTGGTTTGTTTCGGCGTTTTGAGGACATGCGTGCGTAGTCGCCTAGCGTCTGCCCCGATTTGAAGCATGTTGTTTACTCAGATTTCCAGCGATCGACAATGACATCACCATCTACCCACCACACCCAGCAAGACGTTTTGCACACCCTGAATCAGCTCCAGAACTTTGTCCATTGAAGTCACGAGGCACTCAGCTTGAGTATAGCGGGCTTGTGGAAGTTGATTAGCCTTCGACAGACTACGATCCAGTGCTACTTCAATGCCGACCGCAAGGCGATATCAGCGCGTATACGCCACCCTGTTCATCTCACTTTTGCTAATGCAGCGACATTGAAGAGCTTGAGTGATTTGTGTCACCTTCCAGTTATGTGGCTTGGGGGACTGCGTCGACCTCAACTTTCTGGAAGCAGTCTTACCACGGCTTCATCGACGAGTCTTTCGCAAGTTGCTACTGCACGCGCGTAAAGACGTTGCCTGGGTCGAAACGATCAGGCATTAACACACGTCGAAAATCACGAAGTACATACGTGGGCTTCCAAGTAGCGCATCCCGTCTTTCAAACCCATTGATTCATAAACCAACTCTATGTTCGCTTCTCCAAACCAATCTCTTCCCCTTACTGCACCCTCCTATTTCCCCTCACCCTCAGCTTGATGCTTCAAGCCATTCAGTCGTAGCTGATTTCTTTTTCCCAGTATCCTCAGCGTATTCTGCTTCTCAATCTCTGCCATCTTGTCCCAGTTCGCGATCCTGGAGAGCGAGCCGTCCTTATTGACTACGAGTGGCCCCAGGTGGTCCAGCCTGACACCTTCGCCGTTGACGTTGAGTTGTGTTGCGTCTGAGCCCGGCTCTGGTAGGGACAGAGGGCCCTTTGTAGATGGTTGAGCGTCTGGATCATTTCGCTGCGATTCCTGGGCCTGTGCTGTCTGTTGTGGGCTTGCTGACTCAGGCGCGTTATAGGCCATTGTGCGTATGAAAACTGGCCGGGATATGGTGTTGCGTGCGTTGATCGCAAGGGCACTCGATCTGAGGACTTGAGCGCCCAACCGTAACAAGCAAGTTAATTTCGTTGATGAGTTCATCGAGGTTTAGTCATAGTTGGCAAATGTGTTGTTGGACTGTGTACATATGTTACGGCCTTGCAGAAGCTTCTCCTGCCATTCTGGAAAGCTCCAGGGCTCGGTACCGGTAACGTCCGAGCTCAGCACAAGAGGGAGCCACGATACCCAAGAAACTGCCCGAAGCCGCTTTCACGTTTCGCAGTCCAGTATAACACGATGGTTTCTATCTAGCACTACCGCCAGAGCTTAGGTGAGGGTTGACAGGAGATGTGTGTTGACACTGTCAAGCGTGTTCTAGTCACTGCACGTTTTATGAGGCTTTCGGTCTCATATGACCACCAAATTAGGACCTGGCGTTACAGGCCTCACGAGACACGACATCAACGGCCTCATGTATGGAGCAGCCTCGCAACGAGGCGTCCACCGCGAGTACAATTCGAAACAAATTCGGGTCGAACACTCGCAGATCGCTTACACTCGGCCAAGTCCAGCGTCGCCCAGCCACTTGAAATTGGATGGAAGAGTCCTTCCGGTACCGCGAGACGCTATCCAGGCTGCACTGACCGGATGTGCAATTCCTTCACCGACATTGTGGCCGCGGTGCTCGTGACCGGAGATCCGAGCAGACATGGTGGCAGGGTGGCTGCTTGAGCAGGCAGGGTGCCGCAGACCATGTTCAGCTGCACGACATTTTCGCTCCCTGGCTCGCCGCTCCTTCCGTGTCAAACTGCGAGGTGAGTCGAAGCGACAGCCCACTCTTTGCCCACAACCGAAACCATCCACTCCCAGATGCGGGTATGTAACCGTGGAGTGGGACTGAGCTTATTTGAACTTCGTCGAGGTTACAGTGTGTCCTTTTCAAGTCGCTTCTGGTCGCCCAACTTCGCGCTGCGGAAATGCCAGCACAGCAAGGTGCTCGTGCAGGCTTGGAACATTGCAAAACCTAGCACCAGTTGGGTGACTGGTTTACGAGGCGTGCAGCAAGCATCCCACAGTATGAGCGAAACACGTGGGGGCACACATGGCTGGGCACTAACCACGCACCGCCGTCGACATTACACCCAGGATAGTTTCCAACAATGAACTCGCAGAGCTGCTCAAGCAGTCGTCGGCAATTCCAGGCAGCGAGAAATTTCTGCGGGTCCAGTCTGCCACAATCTGTTGGCCAGACGCCGTAGCCTGTTGAGTCGCGGAGAGTTACCAAGCTTGGCAAAGAATGCAACGCAAAACTTCAGCAACTGACAGCAGCGACTGACATGGCTGCTGCGAGGTAGCATTGGCAACGTGCGAGTATCGGATGTGTCACATTATGTGATTAAAAGCCGGTATCCGCGCTCGGGATGCCGCTTTGAGATGCGACATCGTCAGCTCCCAGCGTTTGTTGGTATCGCGGATAATGTACGCTAACCGTATCGTACATGAGCTTGCATAAGCTGACCATGGTACTGACGGACCCTTATTCAACTACGTCTCGTTGCACATGTAGGCCAATTCCGCTCGCAAATCAGGTCGTACTTACGCTTGCGCTCGCTGCAGCGCGAACAGTTTCGAGAAGTTCCATGCAGCGTTCTCGAAGATGTTTGGTGCGCGAACGAAGACCGAAGGCCCGAAAGGACGCCGTTTTCCCAGCCAAGATAGCGGCTTGGACCAGGTACCCCTGACAAGTCTCTCTTTCCACTCAAAACCACGTCATTCTTTTCAACTCGAGAACAACCTCGGCGACGACGAGGAGAAGCAGCACCAATGGCGATATCCATCAGTCAAGAAAGAGCACCGACCGATGTGCGTTTTGTCTGGATCGTCCGTGAGTTGCTGGAATCCGATGAAACAGATATCGAAGGCCACCATGGGACGCGTTCAGTTTCATCGGCTGCGGAAACAGGAATACCCTTGAAGCCGAAGCCAGCCACAGCCGCAGTACGTTCGTTCGGCACAGTTGCTTAAAAGTTGCGCCGGCCCTGTGCGCTGCGCTTGACGTTTGTAAACGGATTTCAAAGAGAGCCCTTATGATGGCGAAGGTCTGTCGAGGCGTTAAACAAAGACAGTTGTCCGAGATTTATTGCAGCCAAACCAGCAAGCGTGACAGACTTTGGTTTACGCAGCTGTGGAATGACGGAGGGCCTAACGCCTTTGAGGCTCTTATCGATTTGCTGCCGTGCGTCCGTGGCGGGATGAAACCGCACTCGTAGACGTCGATTCATAGCATGGCCTCAGAGAGACCAGTGTGAAATTGTCACGACTCAGGAGCGCAAAGGGCGCGTAGAATAGGATAATTCAGATTACATACAGAAACACAATTGGGCGACCTGCGTGGCTAGCAGGTCTCCGGGGGCCGATCGCAGCCCGTGACGAAGTTTTGCAGGGGCGCCTCCTCGCTCAGCAGAGACGGCATCGCGAATAATGCCTCCTAGCAGCACCACCACGTACGTGAAAAGCCATTATCCGGTGGCATCACGTGTCTGTCGTAATAGCTGGCTTCTGAATCGGCCGTACATGTTGCTGTCCATCTCCCTCGTAACAGTATTGCTCCATATGCATATGCACCCGAACGCGTTTGCCGCTGTCTCAAAAAACCTCTAGTGGGCCTCGTCGCCTACCCTTCCCACTCTCTGCCCTCTTGCCAGACGTATCCTCCAAGCACAACATCCTCCGGCAAGACCCGGCCACCGACGACAGAAGCAGGAATTGTGCGCGGGACATCGGCGTCGCTGCTCTAACAGTTCACTCGCGCAAAAAACTTCGCCGAGTAGTTTCACTGCGTACCACCCCTCCTCCAGCCATACCTACCCCATCACCGACGACTTTTCGTGGGTCTCACCTGTCTAACTGCTCGTGCCTCTGCTCTCCACCTGCACCAGCCCGTTATCGATTTGGAGGCTGAAAGTGGGCCCGCCCTCGATCGCCCGCACACACAGGCGCCGCAGTCCCTGGCTCGCTAGAGAAGCGTCCGAGCAGAGACCTCATCATCATAGCTCAGATTATTCTCCTACCACCACCTTACCGTCAGCCCGGCCGTCGCCACACAACTCCTCACCAATTTGCTCCCAGACAACTGTGGGCACCTCTCCCCCATCGAGCCCTTCACGGAGTAGCTGCCGTCGCGTGTCTGCTGTCCACAGCTCCATACAGCTCCCTCCCCCACACGGGCTCCACAAAGCTTCTTCTTTCGTGGACCTCCATTCCCCATCTCTGCCTTTGTGCTGCCCAGTCGGCGCCTTAGCAGCCGTCACACGCGTCGCTCGAACCTCGCGTTCGTCGAATGAGATCGTCACAGACAACACCAATTGGTCGCGTCTCACCCCCATCACCGCACCGCGCGCCCTCCTCGTAGCGCGCTGGACTCCCTCACCATGGACGCCCCCGACCGCTTCCGCCAGTCTGGCCTCCCGCAGTACCAGAACCTTGGCCAGCAGGGCTACAACGCCGCGCAGCAGAACCTGCCCACGCTGCCTCCGCTGCACAGCGCTGCCTCGTATCCCTCGTTGTACGGCGGCCACCACAGCAATCCCCAGACGCCGCAGCCGCCGCACACGCCTGCAACGTCTGCGCCCAACGGCAGTAGTACAATGCCCCCGCTGCAGCACCCGCCGCTGCGGCCCATCCAGCCGTCACCGTCGTACATGCCCATGTCATCGGCCTACTCGCAGGCGCCGCTGCTGCCCACTGCAGCTGCCCAGCACAACGCACACCAGCTGAGCGGCCAGGCGGGCGGCATGGGAATGAACCACCCCTCGCTCTACCCCCATCCTCCGGTCCTTGCCAACCAGGAGCCCGAGCCCGTCCACGTCGTTGGTCAGCAAGGCCGACGCGGCGTTCTGCCCACCCACCCTGGTCGGCCAGCTCCTGCCGCTGGAAAGGCGCCGACTCAAGCAACGAAGAACGCCGAGGGCAAGTACGAGTGCCCTCACTGTAACAAGACGTATTTGCACCTGAAGCATCTGAAGCGCCACCTTCTGCGACGTAAGTACCTCGACTCTAGCCTCTCGCGCACAATCTGACGTGACACAGACACCGGCGAGCGACCCTACCAATGCCATCTGTGTAAGGACACCTTTAGCCGAAGTGATATCCTGAAGCGCCACTTCCAGAAGTGCTCCATCAGACGTGGCAATCCTACCGGCGCCAACCACCTGCAGCACGCGCAGCAACACTTGCAGAAGAACCGTCCGCCGAATGGCGCTGAGGCTACCTCATACCTCAACCACATCCAGGGCACCTCAATGCCGTACTCTGATGCTGGCTACGCCATGGGTATGCCGCAAATGCCTGCCGTGGCTGCCAACGGCTACGGCGGCGACCTTCCCTCCATTGCTGATCAGCACTCCATGTCCGCCAGAACGTCGCGCTCCAACAGCTTGATCAACCGCCCTGGCAGCGGTGTCGAGGAGAACAGGAGGAGCATGTCTGCGCTTGACACATACGGACAGGCGCGGCTCAACTTCAATGACTACCGTCCCAATGCGATGACAAACGCCGCGCACGACGCCAACTCGTTTGCGGCGCAACAGCAACAGCAACAGCAGCAACAGCAGCAACAGCAGCAACAGCAGCAACAGCAGCAACAGCAGCAAAATGCTGCCGCCGCTGCGGACTCGGCCAACCACTTCAACAACTACAGTCACGCCGCTGTCAACAACGACATGGCCCAGAACAACATGCCCGTCAAGTCCGAGAGCGGCGACTCGGCCTCCTACGGCGTGACCTCCATGCCCGCTGTCGACGGCATGCCCAACGGTCAAGACAGCTCCATGTGGCGGAACGGCGGCGCTTTCAACGGAGTCAACAGCGTCAACGGAGAATCACACTTCGCGAATGGATCCAGTATGGCAGGTGGCCCAAACCAACATAAAGCGACTGGCGTTCTGACCGGTACCTTTTAGAACAACACAGATGATACAACACCAAAATATGATACCATGTTCTCAGGCTTATACTCGAATCCCGGTTTCGTCGACTCCACCCCGTATCTTGACAATTGGCCACCTGCTTCCTCTGATCCGCTCCAACAAAAGTCCGAGGCTCTTCTCAACTTCTGTTTCCCTAACGCGTCACTCCTGGCTCCCGGATCTAATGACGCTTACTCGTACGAGGCGCTCAAAAGCATTCTTACCCCCGACAATATCAATCACCTTCTCCGGGAATACAAACACTTCCATTGTCATTGGCCCCTCATTCACACTCCCAGTTTCGACCCAGTTGCAGCGTATGAAGGTCTCGTTCTCACCATGTGTTGCGTCGGTGCGGTCTACTCTGATAGACTGACTCCAAAGTCGGTGCGCTGGCTGATGGAGCTCGTTCGTGGTGCGGTGCTGCGTTCGAGTCAGATTTACAAAATGGATCAAAACCAGAGTCATCTCCTGGACCCTAACAGGCACTGTCCGACCGACATAGAGGAGTTTGAAGCGCTCTGTCTGCTCAACAGCCTGTTCTTGTGGCATGGAAGTCCACGACAACGGCAGCAAGGGCGTGAAGAGTTCTTCATGTTTGCCAGCGTCACCCGTCGAGCAGGGTTTCTGCAGCCTCTCCCTCGCAGTAATCCTGGATTCAGCTCTCTGCACGAACCTGGGCCTATCAACGGCGACGAAGTTGCCTCTTGGAACTGGAATACGTGGGTCGAGAGCGAGAAGCGGGTCAGAGCGATGGCGTACATCTTCCTTCTTGATTCAGCCAGTACAATCTTCTTCAACTCGCAGCCACAGTTCGATGTTCACGAGATCAAGGTCTCGCTACCGGCAGATGATGCAGCTTGGGAAGCGAAGAGCGAAGAGGACTGCGCAAGTGCACTAGGCTTGCGAGGCGAGGCTGCACAAGTTGCGAATGTCTCTGGAAGTAGACGCGCAAAGCAACTAGGCGTGTCAGAGGCTCTGCAGGCACTTTACAGAGGCACGCATGGCCAACTGCCCGAACGCAGCACCAATGCATTCGGCAAGTTTCGTAAGTGTTCATTCCCAAGCATGTGCATGAGTTCTATGCTAACAGGTCGCAGTCCTTATCCATGCGATCCACGTTCAAATCTTCAATATTCAACGCCAACTCCTCAGACGGGTGTCCACAAGCGGTATCGGCACTCCTGATACGCCTGCTACCCCACCCAACGGTGTCAGCGAACAGGTTCAGCAACTGCTACGATCAACCGTTCAAGCTCTCGAGCTGTGGAAGACATGCTGGGACATTGATCTGGTATTACAGTATCCGCCGACGCAGCCTCGACTGGGCTTCTGCAGAGATGGTGTGCACTACTATTTCCTGGCTCGTCTGTTCCTCAGGAGCTCACGGAGAGAGGAATGGGCAGCACCCGCAGACTTTCGTTGCAGACACGTGTTCAACCTTCTCAAGCAGATCAGGACACACGTCGCGAACGACTCTACCCAGAAAGGCATCGACTTCGGCTCAGTCACTACGGTCATGGAGGACTACGGCATCAACGACCTTACTCTCAACATGAAGCATCTCTTCACACCCATACAGACGTCTCGCTCGATGCAGAGCTCGCCTCAACAACAGGCGCAATAATCTTGCAGGTGCCTTTGCCTTGAACAGAGTTTTGTCAAGGAACCGAGGATCACAAAACCCTATCTTTCAGCCTTTGAATATGGATTCAATGGTGTATCATCATACAGTTCTACAGTACCAGCATCAGCGATTTTTTTTTCCAAGCAGCGCGCAGGCGAGCGCATGTTTGAGCATGACAAAACGGAGTTTCAGGAGTCGTGAGATTTTGGAAGAAAGCCGGCGATGACTCGCTTGTGTCAGAAAAAGCATTAGAAATCACCTCACGGCATAAGCATTTACGGGGCGCAAGCACTATCTGGCTTCGGAGACTTATTGGGCAATAGTATCACAGCACAGCGGCATCAGGGCTGGTGTGGGGTATTGCTCAACATCGGCTGTCGTTCTCCGGAGCGCAGCGCAGATTAGGGTGAGAATGTCTCGGTGTGCATGTCTTGGTAGTGTGTTTTCGGTTTAGTTTTCCCTTTTTTTTTTTTTTTTTTTTTTTTCTTTTTTTTTCGTTTCTGTTTCAATAGCATGGATGGGCGCTCATATTCTTGTGGGTTTGAGTAGAATAGAGAAAAGTGCGAGGATGACGGTGAGCTCCCGATGAAAAGATCAATGATATATTAGATCAGAAAGAATCAATGACGTATTTGATCAGAAAGAATCGATGATGCCTGTGATTGGAAAGCAAGCAATGGTGCGTTTGATTAGAAAAGATGTAATGTGTTTGATTGGAAAAGATGTAACGCGTTTGATCGGAAAAGATTCGATGCGTGCAAGATACAATGCGTGCAAGATACAACGTGCAAGATTCAATGCGTGCAAGATACAATGCGTGCAAGATACAATGCGTGCAAGATACAATGCGTGCAAGATTCGATGCGTGCAAGATACAATGCGTGCAAGATACAATGCGTGCAAGACTCAATGCGTGCAAGATACAATGCGTGCAACCAGAAAAGAATCAATGCGTTTAATCAGAAAAGAATCAGTAATGTATTCAACCACACGATGCCTGTGTGTCTGCTCCAAAGGGAGCCCAACGCCAAAGATGCGCCAGCTGAAACCAAACGCCGCGCCGTGTGTCGTAAATGGCAGTATAAAGGCAGCAGTCACAAGAGCGTCAATCCGAACTCTTCCTAAACTTGTCTGAATTGCGGTCGTAGGCTCTCGAGCTGCCGTTGCAGTGCTTGAGGATCCAGGGGTGTCTCTCAACGTCCTCGAGGGCGATGCGCTTCTCGGGGTCCAGGACGAGCAGCTGCATGGGTCAGTGTGGTCCGCAATGATTCGTCAGCGCGACTGCATACCCTCTTGATCAGATCCTTGGCCTCGGCGCTCACAAACGCGGGCACGGTGTACTCGCCCCGTACAATCTTGCGCTGGGTCATGACCTGGGTGTCCTCAAAGGGCGCCTCGCCGACGAGGAACTCGTACGTCAGCACGCCCAGGCTCCACAGGTCGACCTTTTCGGTGTAGTAGTTGTCCTTGCCCGCGCCTTTGAGCATCTCCGGGGGCAGGTAGTCGAGGGTGCCGCACATGGTGTTGCGGCGGTTGTTGGGCGCGTGGACGCTCCAGCCAAAGTCGCTGATCTTGATCTCGCCGTGGACGCCGACGAGTATGTTCTCGGGCTTGATGTCGCGGTGCATGACGTGCTTCTTGTGCAGGTACTTGAGCGCCGAGGCCATCTGGGCGACGTACTGGGCGGCCTTGGGCTCGGCGAAGCGCTGCTCGCGGCGCAGGTGCTTGTACAGCTCGCCCTTGCCGGCGAACTCGAGGATCAGGAAGATGCGCTTGGCGTCGTGGAAGTGGCCAAACAGGCGCAGGACGTTGGGGTGGGCGAGGTGCGACTGGATCTCAATCTCGCGGCGCACCTGCTTCTCGACCTTGCCCTGCTGGATCTCCGACTTGTGCAGCACCTTGAGCGCGCACACAAAGCCCGACGTGCGCTCCTTGGCCAGGTAGACGCGGCCAAACTTGCCCTTGCCGAGCGGCTTGCCAATCTCGAACATGCCGAGGTGCCACTGCTTGGGCGCCGCCGGCTGCGGCTGCGGCGGGACGGCGCTGTCGGTGAGGGTGCGGCGGTGGCCGTCCGACGGGCGCGCGGGCTGCGCCGCGGCCGCCGCCGCCGCCGCCGCGACGGGTCTGGCCGCGGCTTTGGCGACGGCGCCGTGGGCGAGCTTGCTGGCATTGGCGGCCGCGAGCTTCTGCAGCGGCACTTTCATGCGGTTCGCGGCCGACGCCGACGACGCGAGCCCGGCCAGCGACGCGGACGCCGTGGTCGCTAGGGACGCCTGGCTGTGTCAGCGCGGGCGACGCGGGGCGGGCAGGGACGCGCTACTTTGGCCTTGTGGGGGGCGGCGACCTGGTCGTCGTCGTTTTCATCGGCGACGCTGATGCGCTCAAAGGCGGCCTCGAGATGCGAGACGTGCGCCATGCTGGGGGCGGCGGGCGGGCGAGAGACGCGCAGGCTCAGGGCAGCGGCAGAGGACGGCGCAGTCTGCGAGGCTCAAACCCGTTGTGAGAAGCCGTCGTGAGAGCCCGTCGTAAGAGCCCGTCGTAAGAACCCGTCGTAGGAACCCGTCGTAAGAACCCGTCGTAGGAACCCGTCGTAGTATGCGGTCGCCAATGGCCTGCGTCGCTTGCGTGATGTTCGCTGGATGGCTGGGGTGCGCAGTGCGCCGCTGGGGAGCGTTCCGTGCACAGTCGCTAGCCGCCGCCGTCGTCGCCTCGTAAACAGCCGCCCGTTGCTGCGACGACGGTGCGCGAGCTGGGAACATGACGACCCCACCGACCCCACACTGCCACTCCTCGGCGACGGCGACGGCGACGGCGACTGCGACGGCGACTGTGACTGCGACTGTGACTGCGACTGCGACTGTGACTGCAACGGCGACTGCGACTGCGACGGCGACACCTCGACGTCCCGACGTCCCGACATCCCGACATGGCCGCGCTCAACGGCGCGCCCGCGGACTCGTCCGTGACCGCCGCGGGCGGCTTCACCGTCACAACGCGCAAGCTGCCCATCCTCAAGGCCGGCCCCATTGACGACATGGCCCGCGCGCTGGGCATCGCGCCGCCCGAGATGATCTTTGGCGACAACCTCGCGCGCATCGAGCACGCGGCCAGCGGCTGGTTCATCGAGTTCAACGCCTTGGACGCCCTGGACCGCGTCGACAAGACGGGCGCGCGCATGCTGCAGGTCGCCTGCTCGGCCGAGTGGCAGCAGAACCGGCAGAAGCAGTTCGAGGACATCAAGGACGTCGTGCGGCCGTTTGACTGGTCCTACACGACCGACTACCGCGGCACCACGCCCGCCGCGCCCGCGCCCGTCCTGCGGCCCACGGCCGAGCCGATCCCGCTCGCCCTGCTCCGCCGCCCGGACCCGATCCGCTTCTTCGACGAGGTGGTGCTGTACGAGGACGAGCTGGCGGACAACGGCATCGCCATGCTGTCGTGCAAGGTCCGCGTCATGCCCGCGCGCCTGCTGCTGCTGGTGCGCTTCTTCATGCGCCTCGACCACGTCGTGCTGCGCATCCGCGACACGCGCGTCTTTGTCGAGTTCGCCACGGGCGCCGTCATCCGCGAGTACACGGCGCGCGAGGAGACATACGAGGCCGTCAGGCGGAAGCTGGCCGGCAGGAACGAGGACGTGCTCGCCATGATGCGCGACCCGAACCGCCTGGCCGAGCACATGCCCGTCGTCGAGCACACCCTGGACGGCGTGAAGCTGACATGACGCGTGCGGCGTGCAGCGTGCAGCGACACAGGAGACACAGCCCGCCGCCGCGAAGCAGGGCCGACGTGCCCCACGTGTGGTGAGGACGACCAAGAGGTGCGTCTTGTGGTTTTTTTTTTCTCTTTTTTTTCTCTTTTTCTCTCTTTTTCTTCTCTTTTTCTTCTCGTTTTCTTTTTTTCTCTCTTCTCTTTTTTCTCTTTTTTTATAGTGATGTTTGTTCCATCGAGAACCCAGCTGACATGCTGCAAGGTCACAGTGATGGTGGGTACAGACGGCGCATCCATAGCAGCCAATACAACACACCTCTCTGCTGCAACTGCAGACCCAACCATCGCTGATCGTTGCATGTCGTGTGTCGGACGTCGGCATGAATGCTCCAAACCTGCACACTAGACGAATTCAACTGACACACATCCATTTGAAGTTTCCTCATCCGCCCCACACAACTCTCCGCTCGTCTACTCTCTACTCTCCACCCATCTACTCTACACTCTCCGCCCATCTACTCTACACTCTCCGCCCATCTACTCTCCACTCTCCACTCTCCACCCTCCACTCACCAACTCACCCACTCACCACTCTCCACTCACCCACTCACCACTCACCACTCACCACTCACCACTCACCACTCACCACTCACCCACTCACCACTCACCCACTCACCACTCACCCACTCACCACTCACCACTCACCCACTCTCCCCAAACAAGTCCTTCTCCACCATCTGCCTGCAAATCGGATGGTAAAAGTCCCTGTTCTTCTCAAACGTCTCCACCGCCAGCTTGCGATCCGCCTCGTTCAGCAGCCTGAACAGCGGCCGCACAAACTTCATCCGCCCAATCTTGCCCAGCAGCTCCGCCGCCGGCTCAAACGTCTCGGCCGCCTTGGCCTTGAGGCCCAGACACAGGTACCGGCTCGACACCTCGACGTTGGCCGTCTGATGGTACCCGTACGTCGCCCCGAGGAGCCGCACGTCTGCCGCCGAGAACTGCGCGCCAAACGACTGCAGCCGCTCGATGAAGACGACCGACTGGTTCGACACCCACCCGTCAATGTCGCTCGCCTGGGGCTCAAAGGCGCCGCTGCGCGAGCCGGCGACGCGCGCTTCCCACTTGGCCGCCAGCTCGTAGCACCTCTTGGCCAGGGAGTCGTCCAAGTCGGGCTTGCGCGGGTACCCGGGCGCGTAGAAGAGCTTGTCCCAGTCGAAATCCGCGAGCTTCCCGGCAGCTTCGGCGTCCGACGCGAAGAAGTCGAGCAGACACGCCTTGAACTCGTAGCTGTCGAGGGACTTGTTGGCAAACGTCGAGAAGTAGTGCGGGATGAACTTGTCCCACTTGTCCTTGGTGAGGAGAAGCTCAAACTGGTACAGCGCGTGGAAGCCCTTTTCGTACGGCACCGAGCTGAACGCGTCGTCGGGGTCCTGGCCCCTGAGGTTGGTGACCAGCTTGGTGTACTCGTGCTCTGCGCCGTACCGCTCGATGCTCTCTTCCAGCGCCTTCCAGCCGATAATGGCCGAGAAGTGCCGGTGCGCCTCGCCGTGGATGTACGCTTGGATGCGCCGCTCAAGGTAGGTCGTCCAGCCTTCGTTGAGCCAGAAGTGCTCCCAGCTGGCGCACGAAACAAGGTTGCCAGACCAAGAGTGGGAGAGCTCGTGGGCGATGACGTCGATATTCTGCTTGTCGCCTGAGATGATTGACGGCGTTGCGTACGTCCAGACTGGATTCTCCATTCCGCCGTACGGGAAAGACGGCGGGAGAATGAGGATGTTGTACTGTGTCCACTGGTAGTTGGGCGCAACCGTCGACTCAATCGCCCTCATAAAGGGTTCGATTTCGCCGTCTAGCTCGCGCTGGCAGTCGAGCAGCTCCTCGGGTCCGGTCCAGACAGTGCTCCGAGGGCCGATACTGGCGCACGCGATGTCGCCGCTGGCCACCGCGAACAGGTAGCTGTTGATCGGTACCTTTTGCTCGAACGTGTACCTGAGCGTGCCCTGCTCGCCATCCCTCTTGGGCGGCTGGTAGTCGCTCGCGCCAGTCGGCAGACCGGACGCGAGCACGGGGAGGTGTGAGCGCAGCGCGAAACTGAACGTCGACTTGACGTCGGGGGTGTCCTGGCAGGGAAAGACGCTTCTGGCGTGAATTGCCTGACACTGGCTGAACATGTACGGGTGCTTCTTGTTGGAAGTCTGGGCCGGCGTCATCCACTGTAGCGCAGTGCACTTCTCCGTCGTCGATACCGCAACGACAAGGCTGACAGTCTTGCCCTTGGGCAGCGACTCGGTCAGGGAGATGCGCAACGGCGCGCCATAAGGCTCCACGCGATCTCCAACCTCGAACTTTGCAGTCTTGCCATCTATCTTGACCTCTGAGATGTCAAGGAAGCTATGTGTTGTCAATGCCAGACTCTGCTGCATCATCTTCTTGCCTGCTTACCTGCTGTCCAAGACAATCTCCCGGACGTCCTCGTCCGTCAAGCTCTCAAGATCGAGCGCCACCGCACCGCTCAAGATCTTGTGCTCAAAATCAATCTCAAAGTCCACGCTCGTGTGCCGCGTGACAAAGTCGCGGTAATTCGACAGCGTATTCAGATCCCTGGGCGTCCTGACCTCGGCACCCGCGTCCATCGCCGGCTTAGTAGCCACAGCTGCGGTCGCGCGATGCATCGTAGCGAACAGTGCTCTTGCAGTCCTGTCTCGAACGGCTGTCCTTGGCTGCGCTCTCGGCGTTCTTGTACACGTTGTTTGAATTGCAGAAGCGGGGCTCTGCGATTGCGGTGGTTGTGCCGTGTGTCTACCACCTTCCAAACATGTCAATCGTCCGACGAGTCGCCCGTCATGAGCCGCTCTAATCCGCGCTGCAGCGCCACACTTCAACTTGGCCGCTTGCAGGCGCGCACTCTGTGCGAGCAGCCGCATCGTGTTTGCGTGCAAGATGTCTGGTTGGCGGGAGGCCAGAATCCACGTCCCAGAAGCGTGTCGGATGCATCGCGTCGACATGTACTGTGCTTTGCGGCGAATCCATCACGGGATCTGTGCCTTCTGCAACACCACGAGACGGAGTACTTGTACCACGCACGATTCCACCAAACGCGATTGCCCTCATCTCACTTTGTCGACTTGCCAGTTGTAGCGTGTCTGCCTGTATGCTATTCGTCTCTTCTTTGCGTCGCATGTCCATATTGCTATTAGTCTCCTCCCTTTCCACACCCCCCTTCGTTACCGACTCGAGCGACCAGCGGCATCGCTATGAAGAAAAGCCATAGTACATTCTCAGACTCGAAACCATACCTATACCTTGGTGCCACATGCAATCCGTCAAAGAGAATGATGCCAGTTATCACGGCACTGCAAAGACCTCACCAGGCCGACCGCCACGACACACCCTCCGTCCTCGCAGTATAGATCCTAGTAACCTCGTTCGCATCAGCAGTTCCCTCTGACTCGGAGAGCACCGCACTTTTATGCGTGACCGCGGTAGTCGAGATGCCCACCATCGTCCCTAGACGGCAGCTTGAACTTGGCGATTTGTCGAGCGACATCTTCGTGCGCGGATGCGAGGAGCTTGGTCACCTCGTCCTGACCTGAGTTCTGGTACTGCAGCAGCGTGCTCGTGGCTGCCAGTTGGTCTTGGGTGTACACGGCGTCCTCGTGGGCGATCGCGGTGGAGAAGGCTTCGGCGGCGGTGTCTACAAAACTCAAAGAGGCAGCAGCAGCGTGGTGGTGAGGAGGGCGGATGGCCTCTAAAGCTTGAACAGCCAAAGACCGCGGGATAGTATGTCATTATCCTTTCCCTTGAGTGATGCTCAGTATACCAGATGCCCTTTACGATATTGTAGTCGGCAATAGCCTTGTAGGGGTACAGAATGTCTCTGGACCAGCCAGCGACAGTCACGAAGGACACGGAGGTTTCAGATGGTTGGTCTGCTCTCAAGCCCGTCAAGAGTATGGAGCTCGGCAGAAGAGCTAAAGCAACCTTCCCACAGTGTGCCGCTTAGTGCGCCTAGAAGGTACCTGACTACCTCCAGGCTTTGCTTTCCAATGGGCGTCAGGATGATCGACACCATGGCATGCGGATACAAGTCGTCGTAGCAATCGTCCTGTGATTCAGCAAGTACAGACCCAGCATTCACTGATATTCTCAACGGTCTGCAATAGTGGAGCCTCGATCTTGAGCTCAAAACATCCGTCTTGCTTCCATAAGGGTCATGGCCGCTCGCGACTAACAGATTCCGCGATCCTTGGAGCTGTTTGTGGCATCGAGTATATTCTCAACGCAATCGGTCCATGTTGCGCACACACACCCTGCAGCGCTGGCGGGATTGCACGTGCACACAAAGCGCATTGTGTCCTGCCATCGACACAGAGGGCTTCACAAGCTCTTACTTGCGGTAGAGTACGCTCCTTCTCACTGTTCTTTCCGAATTTCAAGCTAGGTTGCTGACAAGACGGCTTGTAGTGGAAGAATCTTGCTACCACAAGAGAAAACAAAGGCTTTACTGTGAGGCAAGACCTGCCAGCTTGAGTAGTCTCCAAAGACGAATATCGAATGACTCCCACGTCTTGAAACATCTAAAGCTTTCATCCAGATCTTTTCCTTGGATGCGGGATCGAGCTGAATGTTATGGCACCTCGAGTCGTGGCACTGCATACCTTTCCGAGCGCACTTGGTGATGATTGGACGCAGAGTAGCGAGAGAGTTGAGATGCAAGGTATCGATTCCAAACGCCGTCGCTATGCACATGCCGTCTTCTGTACAGTATCACGCCGTCTTCTGTACAGTATCACGCCGTCTTCTGTACAGTATCATGCCGTCTTCTGTACAGTATCACGCCGTCTTCTGTACAGTATCATGCCGTCCTCTGTACAGTATCATGCCGTCCTCTGTACAGTATCATGCCGTCCTCTGTACAGTATCACGCCGTCTTCTGTACAGTATCGCGCCGTCTTCTGTACAGTATCACGCCATCTTCTGTACAGTATCACGCCATCTTCCGTACAGTATCATACACACATCATGTCCATCTCTTCTTACACATACAACCACACGTCCTGCTGCAGCTCCACCGAATCATCGATAGATCTCGTCAAACGGTCTTGTGTCGTTGAAGCAGCTCTCCCAAACCTCATTGACGACCTTCTTGGCGTGGGCCTCGTCTTTGATCTGCGGCCGTGCCAGCATGGACAGTTCGGCGCGTCGGCGAACGCAGGCCTGCAGCTGCTCTGTGATGCTCCACTGGTTCCGCGTGAAGAACTCGCGCGTGAACCGACACTCTCCGCTCAGTGTGCTCGCACGAATCTGCGACTGTCAGTAACCGCCTAGCCACCCTCGACGGCGTGGTCTCGTACCTCCAAACACGCCTGGTGCCTCATGTTGTTGGCCTCGACCTTCCACTTCAGATGGTCCCACGCGTGCACCATCTCGTGCCCCATGGTGTCCTCCTGATGCCCTCTGTTCCGGAACTTGTTCGCGCACAGCAGAATCCCGTGGTCCAGACTGAACCCCCCAGACTGCTCACTCGTGCACATGCGGCACAGAATATTGTCCTTGTTCAGATCGCCGCCCAGCTTGTACACCTCATCGGACAAGAAGCGGATGATCGGCGAGTACTGCAGCAGATACTCCTTGTTGGTTTCGCAGCGCTTGCATATCGATTCGGCTTTTGTCGCATCGAGCTCCGTGAAGTAGTTCTTCTCCAGGTCGACGTCGCGGTTGCCGGTCATGCGACCCAGCATGATGGAGAAGGTATTGCTCCAGTTGTAGTATACCGGGTCCAGCTTCGGCGGCGCTGGGGCGGGCTTCGCAATGGCGGCGGGATGGGGGCCATCGGAGACTTGTTCGGGCTTGGACATGGCGGCGCGATCGTGGGAGGGATGCGTAGGGCGTGGGAGGGATGTGTAGGGCGTGGGAGGGATGCGTAGGGCGCGGAGGCGATTGTCGCGAAATGCGGAGAGGGAATCGACAGCTAGGGCGCGTTGTCGCTGCCGTCGCAAAAGTCGCGATGACGGTCGATCTAGCGCCAGGAAGCCGATGCGCCAATGGGAGGACGAGGGAGTCGGTACTGACGACCACCTTGCTTTGCCGGCGAGGGCTTCTACGTATGCGCTTCTACGTCTTTTATGTGCGCGCTTCTACGTCTTTTGTATACGCGCTCTCGCTCCAGAATCACCGCCTACGTTGAAATCACCGACTATGGCCGTCCATATGAAGAAGATGCCCGGCCAATTGACCGTGGTGATAAAACTCGGTAACACGCTCTCAGTACAGAACCCCCACTATACCTACAAGATCAACTTACCAACGGTCCACAGGCACAAGCTCCATAGTCGACGAGAAGACACATCAGCCTCTGCTATCTATCCTCTCTCTCATCGTCGAAACAGCATGCAAGCTCCACGCCGACGGTCACCGCGTCGTCATCGTCTCCTCCGGTGCTATCGGCGTTGGGCTGCGACAGATGAACCTCCCACGGCGTCCGAAACACCTTCCCAAAGTCCAGGCGCTGGCCGCTATCGGGCAGTGTAAGTTGCTGGCACTGTGGGATTCACTGTTCGGAAACCTGAACCAGCCGATCGCCCAAGTGCTGTTGACACGGAACGACATTGCGGATCGAACGCAGTACCAGAATGCACAGAATACTTTCATTGAGTTGCTGAGCATGGGTGTCATTCCAATCGTCAACGAGAACGACACCCTAGCTGTTACGGAAATTAAGTTCGGTGACAACGACACGCTGAGTGCGATTACCGCGGGCATGGTGCAGGCGGACTACCTGTTCCTGATGACAGACGTCGACTGCCTGTACGACAAGAACCCGCGAACAAATCCAGACGCAAAGGCCATCGAGGTCGTCGAAGACATCTCAGAGTTGACTGCAGATGTCAACTCAGCAGGATCGGCTCTAGGCACAGGCGGCATGAGCACAAAGATCGTTGCTGCGCGATTGGCAACAAGTGCGGGCGTCACAACGGTCATCACGAAGAGCTCAAAACCGGGCAACATCTCAGCGATCATCAGGCACGCAGAGCAGCAGCGAAAAGCCAACGTCTCGAGTCGCAACTCGATCAGCAACTTTCAAGACGACGCAGTGAACCTCCACGCTTCTTCTCACGATCTCTCAAACTCCACATCGTCCCTGCTCGAGCCTTCGAACCAAATCGCAGCTATCTCCACCCCACAGGCTGACGACGAGCCCGCACCATTACACACCCGCTTCCTCCCCATCTCCCACCCAATCCGCGACCGCTACTTCTGGATCCTGCACGGCCTCGCGCCGCACGGGACCATCTACATCGACAGCGGCGCATACAAAGCGCTGCACGACAAAGCCGGGCTGCTGCCCGTCGGCATCGTCGACGTCGAAGGCCACTTCGCGCAACAAGAAGCCGTCCGCATCGTCGTTGTCAAGCGGCTTTCCTCAACCTCCGCTGCTGCACCATCCCTCGCATCGCCCACCACCACCGCACCCCCAACGCCCACCCACACAACGCACACGCACGCGCCTATTCCCCTGCGACACCCGCTGCCGCACACGAACGCGCATTCTCACCACGGCAGCGGGACCCACACGCCGCTGTACGAGCTGACAAACCCGGCGCCGTATGAGATCGGCAGGGCGGTGGTGAATTACTCGGCGGGCGAGATTAGGAGGATCAAGGGCATGCATTCGACGCAGATTGTGAAGGAGTTGGGGTATGCAGATAGCGAGTATGTAGCGGTCCGGGAGAACATTGCCTTCTTTGGGGTCGAGAGGAGCAGGCCGCCGACGCCGCAGCTGGAGCATTAGGTTGGGCGGTGAATGTGCTTCGAAGACGCACACGCAGGTAGCGCACAGATTGCAATCCTCGAAGAGCGCACCTGTCCAGACATGCGCATTTGCAGCAAGCGCTACATGCACGTTTATGAATACATCGCTCTACCAATAGCCGTAGCTCGCTAATCCACCGTAAGCCTCAGATCGAACGACACCACCTCTCCAACCCCCGATCAATCCCCTTTTCTCCCCTGAGCACCCCCCCAATCTCCTCCAGCGCAACATCACACCTGCACATGCCAAAACCCCCACTCTGCCCCATGACCACAGGCATGATGAACCCCAGCTCCACCAACCCCTCCCACTCGCGCCGCGCAACGTCCTTGCCCCACACTTTGGTCGTACTGCTGCTAGCGCTCATGCCGCCCGCGGCAGACTGGATGCGCGCCTTGGACGCAAGCGTCACGTACTCGTCGTACGCCATGTTGAAGTTGCAGGAGTCGCTGTCGTGGATGATGTCGAGGCGGGCGGTGGCGATGAGGAGGGAGAGCGCGAGGGTGGAGAGGGAGGGCAGGAGGGCGAGTTTCGAGTCTGGAGCTATAAGGGAAGGGGAGGGTACGAAGGCAGTGTTTGGCGCGAGAGTTGCGGTCGCGACAAGGAATCTTGTGAGTGCTGCTGGGACGGATTTTGTGAGATGGAATATTGGCGCGAGGTGGGTTGTGAGGAAGGAAGGGGCTGCGAAGAGGTTCTGTTGGTGTTAGTGGAGGCGATGAGGAGGGAGGGAGGGAGGTGCTTACTTCGATGTTGGTGTTCCATTGATCGAGAGCGCCGACCTTGGTGTCCTTCTTGGTCTTTTTCGCTGGGGTTGTATTGGTGCCACCTGACAGTATACTTCGCTCTTCGACGCTCAGTTGGTCCGATTGGACGAGCAGACATGCCTTGCATGTCTCCTGGAAAGCAGTGAAGCTCTTTGCAAGGCTCAAGTGAACATAGCGATGGCTGAAGCGACTTTTGACCCGCTTCTCGAGACTGTTCGTGACGTCAATGCGAGTTGTTAAGCCCAGCACGGCGATGGGCGCCTTGCGTGACTGTGCAATGTCGAACAAGTTGTACAACAGTGTCTGGCGTGGATGTTGAGCAAAAAGGTCGAACTCATCCATGATGAAGATGACTGCCTTGGCTACACGGTCGGTGTGCTCTCCTGTCTGTTCTGACGGATGCGACAGTAGCGCGAGGAGCGTCTGCAGAGTGTCGGCGTAGTTTTTGCCTGGACCACTGCCGTCCTCTTCAACATCCATTTCCTTGCCAAGTTGACGCCAGATCTCGCGTAGGGCGATCTTGTCATCTGTGTGGATGAAACCGTTCAGTCGTATGACGTGGTAGTCCTGAGCATTGTCCTTTGAAACTTCCGACAGGACCTTGTTGACGAGTGCTGTCTTGCCACTGCCGCGTGCTCCGATCACAAGCAGAGAGTTGCCCTCTCCGGCTGTAACGGTGTGCTCGACAAGCTGGTGAACGGACTTGTACTCCTCGTCTAGTCCGACCAAGGGGGAAGGTCGCTTGCCCGTGATGCGCTCCATGACGATCGTCTTCAACAAGTCCGACTCACGTCCTGCTGGGAGATTACCATACATTATGGCAGGCGCTAGCTGTATCTTCTGGGCCGACGGGGGCTTATTGAAAGGGCTCGGCTCAGTTGGATCGAGTACGCTCTCCAAGAGACTGTTGCCGTCCACATCCATATCATCGTCATTTTGAGCTGTGTCCAGTGCAGGCGAACTTGCGACATCGAATCGATTGTAGGTGTGGTCCGCACGATGCTGTCTGCGCCGTTCTAGAGCTTTTTTGGTGGTGCTCGGTGGCGGCCGCTTCGCTAACTCATCTTCGGTGTCAGGTATCTCGGTCCGTGTCTTGGCTGCTTTGCTTCGTTTCTTCGCTTTCGAGGGTGTGGCGGCGATGGGTTCCATCATCTGCACTTCCTCATCCTCTTTATCCTCCTCATTCTCGGCACTAGGCGCCATCCTCTTCCGCCCCATCGACCTCGCAGCTGGAGTCGTACGCGCAGCTGAACGGGGCGTCTTTGTACGCCTCGAAGGCGTTGCGGCATCAGCGAGCTCATCGGGCGTATCTGTCTCGGGATCGTGTTCGTGCTTGTAGTTGCTGACCAGATCCTCGAATGCACTCCGGCTTGCGCTCTGGACGTTCTTGGCGGAGCGTAACCTGCCTCGTTTCGGGGTCGTCGAAGGCTCCTGGAGCTGGCTCGCGGTCTTGCGCTCCTTCCGAGCTGCCTCTGGCTGCTTCTTCTTTATCGCTAACGGCTTCTTTACACCCAATGCTCCCTCGATGTCATCGAAGATGTCCTCCTCTTCGATTGCAGTTGCTGTCGCAGGCGTGCCATTGCCCTCGTCCCTTGGATTTCGCCTACGTGCGGTATCTTGCCATACATCCGGAAGAGCTGCTCCCTTCGCCTTTGCCGCAGATCGGGAGAGCCTTGCTGGCTTTCTCTTCGTTGAGCTCTCTGTCGGCGTGCTCGCTCCGTTGCGGTTCGGCGTATCGAGCTTTCTTCGCTTTGCAGAGCGTGGGGAGTCGTCCATTGTATATGTGTAAGTTACAAGCTGGTTCGTCTATGGATGCGGCGTCATTGTCGCGCATACACGCATTTGTTGCGACTGTTGACAAACGCGCAGCCATCGAGTCGCGTCCGTCACTCCAAGTCACGCCTCGCTTAAAGCCGTCACATCCATGCAGCTTCCCCAGGACCCACTTGTTCTTTCCTGTGAACTTGTTTATCTCATTCGCCTTCACTTCAGGTCACCATCGACGTTCACTTGAGCTTCATGTCCGCCATGTCCGCGCTCAACCGCTAAAGCAGTGACGAGACGCCAAAGCATCCCGATCTGCCGTGGCGAAGGATCTGCAGGTCTACGGTTTTTCTGGCAGCATGAAAGTCAGGCTCTGTTTCCGCCGCCAAACCATTTCTGTGGAAACATGATCTGTCAAGTCGCGACAGTCGCTTTGCGGATCCTAGCCACATATCATCAGGCCCTCAGATGCGCTTACAGAAAAATGAGGCTGTGAACGGCCGATTGTTTTTGTTACAGCACTTTGTTTCACGCCGAAGGCAATCGACCAATCAGAGTCGCAACAACGAGCTTGGCGGTTGAAACGAGTACGGTTGAAACGCAGTACCCAGGTCCGCAGAGCCCCTTCGTATTAAACCGTTCCTACGATTAATATCTATGGACCTGCTGGAGCTACAGACCGTTTGAGCGAAAGTGACACTGCGTTGAGCACTATATTTGCGGGCCAGCCCGTATCCATCAAACGATCACGCCTAAACAATGCACGATCTGGCCTTGAGAAGCCTCCAAAAGTACACCTACACTCTGTGACTTGACTGGGTGGGTCTTGAAACGACAATGGGGATCTGCATGAGGTCATCGGACCCTCGTATTCAACTCAAAGCCGCACGTCTCGAGATGATTGATCGAGCGACCTAAAGACGGTCTTCACCCAACGCATGAATCGTGCATAGTGGATTCCATAGACGATCTTTGGAAGGAGCTCTTTGTGAACTTCCAAGCATTGTCAACCCATTTGTTTGCATGGAAATGCGGGCGACAGCATGCCCGGTGGGTCTGGCAGTCTGCAGATGATCGGAGGGCTGATCTTGTTTGGCAATATCAACTTCAAGTATATATGAAGGCGCAGCTCCTGTTGGTTCTTGCTCACCAGCCAATCTTCATTGATTCTGTGTTGACGGTCTTCGCTACACTCTGCAAGCAAGCTTCTTGTCTACCTTGACCTTACGTTCTTTTGGCTCTGCCAGTCCTTCTTTACACCCTCCAGTTCAGTCACTCGCTCACAGTCACTCTCCAAAAGCCCATCCACTCTACAGAACAAACCAACATGAAGTCTGCTCTCGTCCTTGCGCTCGCCGGCTCCGCCGTTGCAGGTATGTTGCACTCGTACCACTGCCAATAATCATATTGACATGATGCAGCTACATCTTTCGGTGCCGTCGTCGAGGCTCTCTTCGGCCGCGACAACGACGATCACCGGCCCAGGTCCTCTGATTTTCCTGGCTCTCTACCCTCCGGCACTGACTCTAGCGTTCCCTACCCATTCACAGGCTCTGACAGCCAGGAGAAGCGCAACATCAAGGCGCTGCACATCGACTACGATCTCGCGACCAAGGCCGCCCCCTCCGTAAAGCGACGCGAGCTAAAGTTCCGCCAGCTCAGCAGCTCCACACTCCCCACAGGCGTTCCAGCAGACCCCTCCGATTTGCCTGTAGACTTCCCCTACCCGATTGGTGGAGTGCCGTTACGCACTGGAGCTGCGTTATCTACCGGCGCCACCTACCCTACCAGCGGTCCCTACCCTACCGGCGGTCCCTACCATACCGGCGCTTCATACCCTACCGGCGGCGCCCCCTACCCTACCGGCGTTCCATACCCTACCGGCGTTCCATACCCTACCGGCGCTCCATACCCTACCGCTGGCACAGGCGCAACAGGTCTCTCTGGCCTGGCCGCTAGGTTTGTCACAGTGACTCGCGGGCCGCAACCTACTGTTGCGCCTGCCGCGTCGGAGCAGGAGGGCGAGGAGACCCAGAGCGGCAACGCCTGGCTGTTATGGGTGAGCGATCTATTGGCTCGGATTCCGGGGCAGAACGAGAGGGCTGGGAATAGTGGAGGGAAGCCGGCAGCGTCTTGATGATGCTATTTCAATTCTACAGCATATTTTAGGGCAGATAAAAGTGGTCTTCGCAATACAGAAAGCTTTGTTGTGCAGACAGGTGGCTACTTGATGACAGTGATGTGCAGCAAAGTGCCTCGAGAAGTAGATCATGTCATTCGAAGAGTAATCGAGAGCGTATCAAAGGTCCTGCTGCTACATCCGCAATTAAAATATCTAACACCATGACATCTCCACAAGAACCCCGTCGATGACTAAGCTCAGAGCCAGTCAGACTCTCTGCACCACAGAGGTAGAAGTCCTGATCATGTCCAATATCAGTGTCCCACCCGTCCTACAAGCGCAATTAAATTCCCAAAAAAGCAGTTTTGTACAGAGAAACACCAACATCGTCGCCCCATAATCGACGGTCTAACGCAGTGCCCCAGCCGTCTGACCACCATACCCCTAACGAACAAAGCTACAGCAGAAGCAAGCTCACTCAGCACATCTGTTGACACATTCGCCACGAACGCTTCAGCGACGCAGCACAAGAGTCCCACGCGGAAATACACAGCCAGCCTGCGGTCTAGGTAAGACGCATTGTGTGGTAGTGCTGAGAGAATTGTACGCGAGATCGGATCAGGGGTCTCTGAATCGTGGTATGTGAGTGAGGCTGAGCAGACAGTCGTGAGGTAGTCGCGCCAGGAAGGTCGAAGTGAGCTTTACACTTGCACATTGTGTTATTTGCGAATCAATCGATGTGCAATCCCCGACTTTCCGGTGTCGTCCTCACCCGGCATACCTCGCGCACCCCTTCCTTCGCTAGAAAGAACCAGGACCGAGTCAAACAAGTCGCTTCGCTCTCCTGACCAAGAACCACTGCAACTCACAAAGCCCCCCGCACCACAGCAGAAACGCAGTGACACCCAGCACCGCCCAACACCCAGCACCAGCGCCCTTGCGCTACCCAGCAGACAGCCTCCCACCAGTCATTGATCCAGTCTCTTCCAACTCGTCGACGTCCTCTCACTGACCTGGCAGCGTATACGAATCGTACACTGTTTTCTCGCCGCGGCCGTGCATCACATCGCAATAATGTTCCACACCGCCGTACGCTCTCTCGATACGGGCTATCTCTTCGAGGTGCCGTGGGTTCATGACTTCCCAGCTGATGTCGTTGAAGGGCGGTCTCAAGGGGTTAGTGTAGGCAATGGGCGATGGGGAAGTGGGTGTGGAGGTTGGAGCTGCGGGTTGAGCGTGCAGGACCGGGACTATTATGATTAGTGTTCGGGATACAGGATATCGTATCGATACCAGAGACGGATTACTTATTAGAATGCAGCATCCTGCAATAAGGAGCAGGATGCTTTAGGCGACGATCTCCGTGGTGATAGGTAGTCCAGGATCGGGGTTTCGTTTCTGTTGAGATTATCGGTCATGCGTGCTGGCAAGGATAGGCAAGATCGATATTTCAGCTTCTGTTATTGAGAACTCGGGACGGGCGGTCGGTCTGGAAAGCTCAGAGTCCATTGTACTGTGGTTCAGCGTGGAGGAGAATACGTGTGGCAAGGCTCCGGAGATGATTATCACCCATCGTTCTGACCGTCTCTGGAATATCCATGGATTCGGCTTCAATCTTGTATGAAGAAGTGTTAGCACAGTGTACGTGTCTTCAATCACATCGCATGCAAAATACTTCATCTATGCGAGAAGCGAGCTTTCACGAACCTCATATTAAGCAGACATGGTGGGTATGTCAATGAGGCCGTTGGAGTGTTTTGAAGGGCTGTCGTACATGTGAGGTTCGCCGTGTATGTGTCGGGATGGTAGAAGAAATAGAGGCGACCTGACACCAAGCCGCCGAGTAGCGAGGGGCTCAAGTGTCACGGTGCCCCAAAGGAGCTATGCAGGTACCGCGAATAAGGCAGGTGTACGAGTTGCTCACTCAACTGCACCAATTCTTTCAATGATGTTCCCTAACATATCCAGCCCAGGTATCAAAATTTCAACCATAACGCCGCGCAAAATGCATCCCGGCGTGTAGTACATCAAACCCTCCCTCCAACGCCGCATCGAAACCAGCCGTCTAGTCGTGCTTCGCTCCGCCGTTGCCGCTGCTGATACCACCAAGGAGTCCATCCTTCTCACCAAGCTGGAAGTAGCCGGCGTTTCCACGTCTCCTCAACTTCTTGCCTGCGAGCAGTGCTGTGAGAATCAAGCCAATGGTGCCGAAAATGGCCAAGACAGGGTGGTGCCAGGCGAAGCTGTTAAGGCTGAGGAAGAAGCCCGAGACGCGGCCGGTTGTGGATTTTGCCCGAATCTGGGGTGGGTTCTGGGTCACTTTGCCAATAGTTTCCAGGATCGAGGTGCGCGACGGTCGAATGGGCTCGCCGGAGATAGTAGTATCCCAGAAGCGGCGGTTCTGATATCTGTTAGTATGCGCGTGAAACTCGTAGTGATCGGAATGCTTACGTCTTCATCGTTGATGATGACCCTCTCGCCCTCCTTAACATCGACACCGTAAGTGGTCTTGACCCAACGCTCCCAGAAAACGCCATCGACCCATGCAAATCCAACACGCGGGCGCTCGATTGCGTCCATGTTGATGCGAATACCCTTGGCATTCCTCAGAGCGCGGTCGTCCTCTCTGTCTTCGGCCTCCTCAATGCGAAGTTGCTTCGACTGGCGCAGCTCCTGGCGCTCAAGCTGGAAAAGTGCGTCCTGCTTGTCGATCCACTCAATCGCAGCGGTCTTCATCTCGCGCTTGGACAAAATGAACTCATCGGAACGGGCGCGGCTGAGGATGCCAAGGACTACGATCTTGCCATCCATGATATCCTTGGCGTTAGAGGAAGTGAGCTCGGGGACGAGCGGAAGCCAAACGGACTTCATCCAGGTTAACACTTGACGGGTATCGCGCATTTCCTTTGGCGTGATAGGAGGGTAGTAGGTGGGCTTGCCGTCACGGGAGACCATGAGGCGAGGCCAGGTGGAGATCTTGAAGCGTTCTGACATGGCCTTGTCGTTGGTCTTCACGATCTTGGCCTTGCCAACCAGGCTTAGAGTGAGGCGCTCGAGTGCCATGAAGTCTTCGGATGTAGTGGCGTGGTCGAAGAAGTAGACGAAGATGACCTCCTCTTTCTCCTCAAGAGCCTTGAAGCTTGCGGCATCAACCTCTTCAACACCGGCGCCTACTGAGGTCGCTTTGTTGGCGTAGTCGAGCAAGTCGCCCAGGCCGCGAAGGCCTTCGTACTCGATGCGCTCGCCACCGCGGAAGAAGAGCATGGTAGGATATCCTTTGACCTTGGCATCCTTGCAGAGTCTCTTCTCAACATCGCAGTCGACCTCACCGATGTTGAGCTTGCCCTTCATCTGGCGCGCCATATTGTCCCAGTTTGGCTTAAGAGCCTGGCAGTGGTGGCACCAAGGCGCGTAGAACTTGACGAACCAGGGATCGAGGGTATTGGTGATGACAGTCTGGAACTTCTCCGCGGTAAGAGGCTCAGAGATACCGGACGGGTTGAAAGTCGAGACAGCCTTAGCAGGGGTGGCCCTTGTGGGTGTAGCAGCTGGAGAGTCCACTTTGGTGGGCACGTTCTTCAAGCTCTCGAGCTTGGAGCTAACAGCTTCCTTGACCTTGACGTCCTCCTTCTCCTGCTCCTTCACAACCTCCTCGGTATCCGGGCCAACTTCAACAGCTTTGTCACCAGCCTTGGGCAGCTTGGGTCCGCCCTCCTTGCGTGATCCAGGACGAATCGTCTCAAGCAGCTGTTCGACCCAGGTGCTCAGTTCCTTCATATCCTTCGAACCTCTTTGTCTCTGAACCTCGGTTCCATCGCGGAAATAGATCATCGAAGGGTAGCTCATGACGTTGTTGGCGGCGCACAGGTCGGCGGAGGCTATGCAGTCGACCTTGGCGAAGTTGAAGTCGTAAAATCGCTTGAAGGAGTTGAGGGAGTCGCCCTCGGGTTCGCCTTTGGCGTCGATCGGCTTGGATGTGTAGTAGAACTCGTAGGCGGTCTGGTATGTGGGCGCGAACTGTCTGCAGTGTGGACATGAGGGCGAGAAGAACTCTACGAGCCTTTCGATATGTCAGCGAGAGTCACAAGCCATGAGCGGTATCAGGCATACCAGTTGCCTTTTCCAATCGCCTTGTCGAGAGTCTTGATGTCAAGCACTGGCAAAGGTGGCACTGTCTGGCCGTTGAAGATTGTATCGGGCGTCTTCTCTTCCCAATCTTCATCCGCATCAGCCCTCTTTACTGCTGCCGCTGCATCGTCTGACCGTGCGAGTGTGGAGGCAATCGTCGCCAGCGACAAGAGCGAATAGAATATGGAGCGCATTGCGACGGCGGCTTGCTGCTCCGGCGCAGCGGGGGTCGATGGGTGCGAGGGCGCGTGATAGGTATGTTCTCGGAGTCGCGACCGTGCAGATGAAAGAAGAAGGAAACACCGAGATGTCGAGAAACCGCCTCTCAGAAAGTCACGGTGGAGGGGTGAGATGCCACGGTCCCCAAGATAGATAGATGCATGCCCCTGTCGAGCCCAAGCTCCCGCGCGCCAAGCCTGTGGAGCGTGAACTTCGACGATTGACGCCATCACCGTCTCCGACACCAATTGCGCCACGCATCGCCGTCCACAACCCCCGCAACCATGAGGGCAGCTTCCAGACTCTTCGCCGCCGTCAAGCCCGGCCAGTTCCTCGAGGCCGGCGCCCCCACTGGCCTCACAGGCCTCGCTACACACCCGTCGCCGCGCTCGACACTGCTCCACCACTACCACGGCACCCTCACCAAGCTCCAGCAGATTCCCGAGTCCTCCGTCTACCGCCAGTCGACCGAGGCGCTTACCCGCCACCGCCTGAAGATCATCGAGGAGTCGAAGCCCAAGGGCTGGGACGCATGGCAGGAAATGATTAGCTCGCAGGTCGCCGAGGATCCAGAGCACTTCCACACCATTCGCAGCGATGCCGGTGTTACTGTTGTCGCGCCCAAGCTCCAAAATGTCGACTACGGCCAGAACCGGAAAGCCGAGTGGGACGGCGAGGTTCCGCAATCCTTCCCTGAGGGCATCAAGTCGCAAAAGGAGCGCAGGAAGCACATCAAGGCCCTAAAGGGCGACGTCGACTACAAGCCTGAGCGCACTGTCTCGCCCGTTACCTTCGCGCCTGAGCCGCGGTACACAATCGAGGCGTAGGTGATCACGACCAATGAGCGACGAGGAAATACTAATCTCGTGAATAGCATCTCTGACTTGGAGAACAAGATCGGTGCTGGTCTGATTGAGGAGGTCATCCAGGTTGCTGAGGCCGAGCACACATTGGTGGAGGAGATGATCAAGTCCAAGGTGTAAGTGCGCACGATTGGTAGCCCTTGAACCTAGAGCTAACGCGCCACAGCTGGGAGCCACTTGAGGAGCCATCCCCTGAGGGCCAATGGGTGTATGCTGAGCGTGGTACCCACACTGGTACTACTCAAAATCCATAGAGAAAATTACGAAGCGAAGATGTAAATAGTAAGAAGGCTTGTACTAGTTAACAGTTTGGTTCCCCCAACATCACTTCGCATTGCGTCGTATTCCTTTGTACTGTCAAAGTCAGGCTGTCTTAATGTAGATCGACAGAGTTTCGGTGGGAACTGCTGGCTTCTGCCAAAGATTTGGTCGCGATGCCCCCGCTCACCAACCACGCCCCTCGGTCACTGTTGCGGAGTGGTGTACTGAGGACGGATGAATTACTGGCGCTCTTTAATCCTGGTGGCTTTGGAATTGTCTGCGCCTGTTGGTCCATGACCCTGATCAAGCATGCCGAATCAGTCCCCCGGCTGGTCTGCCAGATATGCGGAGCCTGCTCAATCATTAAGAAGGCTCAATCATTAAGAAGGCATGAACGAATGCCTCACGCTACAGGGCAACCCTTCACTGCTTCGAATTCATCACACATACACTACGCTTTCAACGCCTGCTCCCACCCAACGCCTGACCCCTAATCCTCTCTTCCTCACTAATTGCGACCTTGGTGCTCGTGACGCTATACTTCGTCTCCTTGACGATGTTCTTCTGACTATCCCCATCATCGTGCTCATCCTCTCTGTCCGCACCATCCCCAAACGTCTGAAATGTATCCATCATCATCACCCCCGAGCGCTTTCTGTCGTGTCTGTTATAGCTCAGCGATTCCGGAGGCCCCGATATCCCTCCCGCGGGCGTGTTCATGCTAGAGCTGAACCCCACACGCAGCGATAATAGTGGCCGCAATGCGGGGAGGCTGCCAGCCACTATGCCAATTCCTTCTTCCATCAACGACCAGAAGCCGATCTTGCCCGTGCTATACATGAATTCTCCGGGATCAGAGTACAGTGCGAGATATCTCAGGCGGACGATCGTGGCGCAGCTCGCACTGGATTCTGTTAGTGATTCTTCTGCAACGAGGGAGTGGTAGTCTCTTACACTGAGGCGAGAGCGAGGATGACGGCTACAGAGCTCTTGACAGTGCCTTTCATCTGCACTTTCCAGAGCATAATTGCGGGCAAGATGGCGAGAGACCAATCGGTCAGGATCTCGATTGCGCTGAAGAAGAAAGACGCGTTGCTGTTCAGCCGCAGGTTGCAGGTGCCTTTTGCTTCGCCCCAGAGTGTCTGGATCGGCTTGCCTGCTTCTTGTCAGCTGCATCATCAAAACAACGTAGTGGAGAGAAACCAACAGATACTGGCTATGCTGGCAATGAAGACGATCGTCGCGATCCATTGTAAGCCCATGATGGCATAGATGGACCAATTGTAGCGGCACTGTCTGGAGGCAATGCGTAGAAGGGTGACGGAGATGCTGCATTTTATCATTGCGGCGCTGACGACGTAGAAGTACTCTGCAATATAAAAGGTCTTCAGGCGTCAGCAAGTCTACTGGAGCAGATGGGAAAGGAGTGATGAACCTTTATTCCCTTCGAAATCGTCAGAGGCTTCAAGTCCTTAGCTTTCTGGCCAGAGCCATAGAAGCAGGACACTATGCATAGACACGCCGTTACCGAGAACAAGACCTGCTTGTATCAATTGAAGTGCTGCAGCCATGATTGGGATAGAGTTCGTGACATACGAGTCCGACCAACATCAGGTAGTCGTCCATTCCGAGCACTTTCCTCCACACCCGGACACCCAAACGAATCGATACAGTGATCCAGGTCAGCAATAGCAGGATAATTGCCGCGTATAAAAGTGCCACACCATCTCCGGATACGGCGACTGTACTCATCGCGCAGCAAGCAAAAGTTATGACTTGGCGAGCCACTGCTGTCAGACCTTTATGCGTTCAGAGAAATATCACAAGCTCGTATTCTCGCGAGAGTCCGAGAGTGGAAGACAATCCAACAACGAAGAAAGGATTCAGTGGCACTTTGCTTCTGTTGCTTGATGTTCCTCTCGGATTCCTTTAATGCTTAATGATCCTAGATGAGGGAAACGTTCTCTTGGTGTGCATCGGACCGTTCATGCCGGGGAATGGCGGAACAGGCAAAAAAACTCCAGACAAACTCGATCAGTGGTTCGGCAGTTCCATAGGTCCGACTTCTGTAACGGTTTTTGATGCTCGGTTGCAGAACTTCGTGATTCGTGGTGCGGAGTCATGCTAGCTATCAAGCAGCATCGAGCTTGAACAGGTTTGTTCTAGGTCAGCGGGAACCGCGTTGAGCATTCATTGCGTAGCCCGAGTGCTTTTATGCGGCCTTACACAGATTATGCATATGTGGAGGTACAATCCGCTGCATTACTGAACGTTGCATTCATGAAGTTCGGCAGGTGGAAATGCACATGCTCAAGACGCAGTTCAATGTATACAGGGATTGCAAATGGCAGAAGCGCTCGTGCGATCCGACTGTGCGTCCAAGTTCGCTGTATAAGGCTAGGCATCTCGAACTCGAAACGTGCGTGTTGGCTTGAGCACACAGGTAGGTGTTGAGCCGTGATAGTGTCGATCGATTGTCATGTCAGCTTGCATTCCGTTAGACTCGGGCCCAAGCGTCACGCTACCGGTAGGTTCATCGGCGGCTTCACGGCACTATCCGCAATAACGGTTGAAAAACCGTTGAGCTCCTTTCCCCCCATCGCACGGTTGTCGAGTTGCATGGGAGCTCTGGCATCTGCATTCCGTCAGAGCGTAGAAGCGGGATCATCATGCTGATCAAATTTGACTGCATCGGTAACTGAAAGAAAAGATATATGGATCCTCTTGCCGTACCTCTACTCGGCCCCTAAATGTGTTTTCAACAGACTTCGGAGAAGTTGCTCGTGTGAAGCATCGGATCTTCTTCCAGAGCCTTTAAGGGCCGAGTATACGCCATCATGTATTAGGTCTGGAGAAACGACCGAACCATCTTCCCGTCATAATCTGGTCGGATCAGATCCTCTAACGGTCGGCAATTTCACAAAAGCTTGAGCTTACTCTTTCGGGACTCCCAAATGGAGCACGATTTCAGAGGTACGAAGCTTCGCGGGCACCACCACCGGACCCATCATGGTGTGATTGGGCTCCTGGCTCCGCCCCTGGACCCTGTAGGTATGTGTAGTGGTATCTCAGCCGTTCTTCCTGGTTACGCGTGTGCATAGCAATATGCGTGCAAAGGTAGCGTGGTGTTGACGGGGCAGCGGCAGTAGCCCCGGATCCACAAGTGAACCGAGATGCTGTTGTGTCTGTAGAGCGTCCCTATTCTTGTGAAGCTGGAAACTTGAGATCTCGTCTTCTATACCTAACAGACAGCTACCCATCATGTCAGACTTCCAGATCACAGACGCCGACCTCTCGAGATCGAAGTTTGAAGGCAAAGTTGTCATAATCACAGGTAACTCAGACCACAGCCCTCCTGCTTCCCTCCCAATTGCAACAAGACTAACCAAAATTACAGGCGGCTCCTCAGGCATCGGTCTCGCAACAGTCGAACTCCTCGGATCCCTAGGCGCAACCGTGATCAGCGCAGACATCAACGCCCCGCCCAAGACCGGGCCTTTCGTGTACATCGAGACTGATGTCAGCCAATGGACATCACTCACGAAACTCTTCAAGTCCGCGATTGCCGCACATGGTCGCATTGACTTCGTCTTCGCAAACGCAGGTATTGGGCCGCGCGCAAACTACCTTGCGCTCGAGTCTGACGCCGAAGGCGAGCTGATCCAGCCGAACACAGCAACTCTGGACGTAAACCTGAGCAGCGTGATCAACACCGCGACTCTGGCCGTGCACTACATGAAGACGCAGAAAGAAGGTGGAAGCATTGTGCTTATGGGATCGAGCACGGGCTTGCACTCCGTGCGTGCTATCGACTACTGTACGCTCCAACCAAGCTCGATGAGAGAACTTAGCTGACAGCGCATAGCGACAGCGAAATCCGGCGTCCTGGGCTTCGGCCGCGGTCTCTCTGTGCTCCTCTCGGCCTCCAACGTGCCTATCCGCGTCAACATCCTCGCGCCCAGCTGGACAGCAACACAAGTCCTGCCTGACCTGGGCAATTTGCTGAAAGCGGTGAACTATGACGCGCAGTCCACAGACGTCGTTGCGCGCAGTGCAGCCTATCTGTTCGTCGACAAGAAGAGGCATGGTGAGGTCATATTCGTTTGCGAGGGCAAGTACACCGAAATCGAGAAGGCGATTTTGGCGCCGGCGTATGAGAAGGTCAAAGGTGACGGGCCAAGTGATGATGAGGTGTTGGCGAGGATTATGGCGCTTGCCGGGTAGGCATTGGCGATGCATATCCCGTCTGAAGAACAGTCGGTGCGCCGGGATGTGGTGAGCCACTTGGATCTCCAAACACAACTGGCAGTTTTCGGGCAGATTTGAATCCCTTCGACATGTATTTATCTCCGTGCTCTTGGATTGCACACTTGATTGCGGCTGTGCAGATCCTCATATTCCTGCACAGCTGAGATTGTACCCCAATGACAGTTGCAATTGACCACATAGCCTTTGCGTATTGATATAAATTCTGCTCATTCTGGGTATCTCAAGCTCCTCTACGCCCACGCGCCTCACCCCAACCTCCGCCTGTGCTCGCTTTATTTTCCAACTTTTACGCACATAGACGGCTACTATTGATCTCAATATCCAAACTCCCAGATATCCTTCTGATACCCCTCCGTAAACGTCTTATCCTCTCCATACTTCTCCTGCCACTCCGTGAACCCGCCCTTGAGCACATACACTCTCTGCCTCCCCCCCCTCTTATCATCTCCACTCTCCTCCCCTGCCGCAGGCCCCTCTTTCCTCACCTCCCGCTTGTTCTCAAGCGCCATCACGCCATCCAGCCGTGCCTTTTCGCGGAGATACCTGAGCGCCGCACTCGGCCCGCGCTGCTGACTCAACGCACAATGAAACACCACGACCTCCTTGTCTCGCAGCTCGCGCACCAGCTCCGCCGTCTTGTAGTCCAGCTGTGAACTCGGGACCCACGTCGACCCGCGAATGTGCCCGCCGATATGGTCGCTGTCGCGCACGTCTATTATTGCCGTCTTGGGAGGTAGGCTTTGAGTGGCTTGGAATTGACTTGAGAGCGCTTCGCGCGATATATATTGCAGGTCGGAGAGGGAGATCGAGGACATGGTGGAGGACGCTTGGCTGCGATAGGTGTGGTGAGGAGGTGTGTGGACGCGTTGTCACAGTGTACAGGTGGTTATTGTTTGAGAGCTTCAGAGGTCGAGTCGTGAGGCCCCCCGGTGGTGTCTGTTGGAGGTGAGGAATTGAGTGTAGTAGCAGCAGCAGCACATAGGCTGGTGGGGGGTAGTTTGAGAATCGAGGGTATGGAGGGGTGGTGGGGCACGCGTTGACGCGAGGAAACGGTCGCTGGTGGGACTGCTAAACACATACGACAACACGATGTTGAGGTGCAGTTTGATTCGCCTCGCAGACAGAGCGCCTGCAGTTGTCGGGGTGCCAAGATCAAAGTAAAGTGCTTGTCTTAGCTCAAAAGAGCACATATACAACACTAACGCCAGATTAACACTCGTGGTCCCCTGATTACACGCTGAAATATCAACTACAACTTGCTTCCACCACCGAGCAGCTCCGCACCAGCGCCCGAGATGGCAAGCTTGCCAGTCTCCTTGACCTTGGTCTGGAACGCAACCGTATTCCCTGTCTTCCACATCTCGGTAATCAGTGTCTGACCGGGGAGAACAACACCCGCAAAGCGGACCTTGATGTTCTTGAACGGCCCAAACGTCTGCAGCACGTGCTTGCCCGAGATACCAAATGAGCACAAGCCGTGCAGAATCGGTGTGTCGAAGCCGCCAACCTTGCTGAACTGCGGGTCAATGTGCAGCGGGTTGAGGTCGCCCGAGAGACGGTAGATAGCTGCCTGTTCTTCAGTAGTCTTCTCCTCAACCACAACATCGGGCGCGCGCTGCGGCGGCGCGTGCGCCTTGGTCGCAGCGCCGCGGTCGCCGCCCTTCTTCTGGCCGCCGAAGTTTCCACTACCCCTAATGAAAACTGTGGACTCGTTGTAGAAGATCTCCTCGCCTGTTTTGGCGTCCTTTGTCACGGAGCCGTAAACGACAAGTCCTGCAGCGCCCTTGTCGACGACTTCGACGAGTTTGGGGACCGCAATGAGCTTGGCTTCGGTGGGGATGGGGAATTTTCGGATCTCGAGGAACTGCTCGCCGTGCAGGAGCATGCGCGGGTCGAAGTTGGGGACGATCTCGTCGAAGGAGAAAGGGGCTTCGGCGTTGAAGGGAGGGATCACTCCGAATGTGGGAATGACCTGGAAGTTCTCGTCGCCCTCGTAGACGAAGGGGAGGTCAGTACGCTTGGCGCCGATACCCAGGTCTGCAGACTGTTAGGAACATATAGCGTAGTGTGAGTGATAATGAGCTTACTGTAGAGGATGACATCCCTCTCTGTGTACTCGAAAGGAGTGCCCTCCGACTTGGTAGCAAGAGCTGTCTGCTGAGCCTTGAGGATCTCCTCGTTGCTCTTGGAAGGCTTCTTCTCCTTCTCGCTCTTCTTGCTGGTGTTGTCCATGTTGGCCATGGTCGGCTTGAGACCGTCAGCGGAGTCATGGGGGTGATCAGCACGGCCATCGTCGAAGTTTGTGATGCGCTCCCACTTCTGGACGACTGCCTCGGGGGTGAGCTTGACATCAATGGGGAAATTGTGACCTCCGGATCGCTGCCACCTAGTAGCGGCAAACCAGCCAGAGCCCATCTCGTAGAGACCGCCAGTGGGCACAGGAGCCTTGTCAGAGACAAGCAAGATGACGAGAGGGGCGTTGTAGTCGGGCTTGAGAGCCTGAACAGCCTCCTCAGGCAAAATAGAGCGAGTCATTTGTGTGCCGGCGTTGGGAGCAACGGTGTTGACGAAGATGTTGTACTTCTTGCCCTCAAGAGCAAGAGCCTTGGAGAAACCGAGGATACCGCTCTTGGCCGAGGCGTAGTTGGCCTGGCCAAAGTTTCCGTAGATACCGCTAGTGGAAGTGGTGTTGACGATGCGGCCGTACTTCTGTTTGAGCATATATGGCCACGCAGCTTTGGTGACTGAGTAGGTACCGAATAGGTGGACCTTGTGGATTATGTCCCACTGGTCGTCAGTCATGTTGGCGAAAGCCTTGTCGCGAAGAATACCGGCGTTGTTGATGACGATGTCGACGCGACCCCAGGTGTCAATGGCCGTCTTGACGACGGCCTCGCCGTTCTGAACGTCGGCCTTGTTGCCAACGGCCTGGCCGCCAAGCTTCTGGATCTCCTGAACAACATCGTCAGGGTTGACGAGGTCGTTGATAACAACCTTTGCGCCACGCTTGGCCAGCTGGAGCGCGTAGATGCGACCCAGACCAGCACCTCCACCGGTAACAATTGCAACCTTGCCTGAGAAGTCGAGCTCCTCACCCTTGGGGTTGGCAGGAAGTTTATAAGCCTCCTCAAGCAGCTCAAGGCCATTGAGAGGACCCTGTGGGTGCTCAGCCTTCGAGAAATCAACGACATCCTTCCACTTAGCAATAACAGCACCAGGTGTAAGAGTCTCGTCGGCCTTCAGGTGAACACCGTTCGCTCGCTCCCAGCGCAACTCAGCAATGTGACCTGCACCGGCTTCGAAGATGGCACCGGTCTTGGTGTTCGACTTGTGGCTAAGGACGGCGACGAGAGGGACGACCCATTCAGGCTTCAACTTGGCAAGGACATCGGGAGGCATGACGGTCTCGGTCATTCGGCTGGCAGCGACCGGGGCGATGACGTTGCAGAGGATGTTGTACTTCAGACCCTCCTTCGCAAGAGTCTCAGTGAATCCCACAAGGGCGAGCTTGGCAGCTGCGGTTCCCATTAGTACAAGACTCCTCGTTTTGAAACCATAGCCGGCTTACCAGAGTAGTTCGTCTGGCCGAAAGAGCCGAACAGACCAGCCGCCGAAGCAGTGCTGATGAGCCTGCCATACTTCTGCTTCCTGAAGTGCGGCCACGCGGCTCTTGCGCACTTGTATGCACCGAAGACGTGGACCTTGTAGATGAGGTCCCAGTCAGCCTGCTTCATGTTCTTGAAGCTAATATCGCGCAGGATACCGGCATTGTTGACCAGGACATCGATGCGTCCAAAGGCATCGATTGCCGTTTGAATGATCCTGTCACCGTTCTCGACTGAGTCGTAGTTGGCGACCGCGTTACCGCCTGCGGACTTGATCTCTTCGACGACTTTGTCGGCGGCCTGGGTGATGGTTAGCGGGTGTTTCTGAGCGTCTGGTAGTGGAGCATGTGACAGGCCGGCGGACTTTGGAAGGGAGGCGCGACATCTACCAATGCAAACGAACGTTCAGACTTACCGATGAGTTGCCGCCCTCGCCCTTGAAGCTTGCACCGAGGTCGTTGACAACGACATTTGCGCCGCGGCTAGCGAAGAAGATCGCATACTCGCGACCCAGACCACCACCAGCGCCGGTGACAACAACGGTCTGGCCTTCGTACCGCAGTTCTTGCACACTGCTCATGATGCCCAATGTGTTCTTAGTAAAGGAGAGGATGTGACGCTCTTCGATCTTCGAGATCCGCGACAAATGCGGAGAGCTAGACCTGGATGACGTTGGTTGCTAGCAGATATGGGTATCAACGAAGATCCCAAAATATGCAGGTGCGTGAATAGGCGGGAAAAGGGGTACGATGGGGGAGTATGGGGGAAGGAAGGTATATCACGGACGCGGAAGCAGCCAGAGTCGCAGTTTTGAACTCATCTTGTTCACGCGGCCTTCCGAGGTGCGAGCTGCCTCGGCACTTTGATGTGTGGGGATCCACGTGACGCGTCCGGGGAAGCCGCAGTCCGCGCGATGCCGTCACACATTGCCGACATGTGAAAATGCGAGAGCCAGTTGAAGGTTCTTGGAGCTGTCATGTGCTGCCACGCATATATGGGCTGTCATATGAAAGTGATGTCTTAGTGACAGTGTCTTCTGTTCGTTGTTCACACGGCCGATATTTGATGTGCCGGTGTTCCTTTTGAACGGCACTGCCAACTGGAGGATAAAACCGGTCGCGAAAAGCTACCGGTATCGAAGATTTACGGTACTTCGCAAGAGCGACTTTCCTACTAGGTATCATCAGTTATAACATCAAGTCACCTTGGAAGATCACAACGAAGCGAGTAAGTACAAAAGTAAGTAGCAACCCGAGGCAATTGCGGCTCATGAGTCGTCGTGTCACAGTCACGAGACGGAGAAATCGAAGGCTGGACGTGGTAGTTGATATTATCTTACCGTAGGCTCTGAGAGGTGCTGCGAATAATGGCAACAAGGCCTTGCGCAATGGGTGGCGAGTCGCTCACAGTGAGGAGCATAGATCCCAATTCAAAATCCAGGCGTGCATCGTTCGTCAGATCTCGGTGTCGGGCCGCTCCGCGGTGCGATTCATCAGAAGTGGTTGTCGCCCACCAGATTTTTCGACCTCAGTAAAATCCACGAACATCACTTCAGCCACACTTGTCTCCTTTGTCTCTGTTGTCTCACTATCATCCTCTTTTGCCGCGACCCCGCCTCTACCGCTTTTTATCGGTCCACTCTTTAGGATGCAGCTATACTGATCGAGCCGTGGATCCTTGTGTCTCGTCTCGAGTGACACCACGCAAGCTGGGAACCACAGGTAAGCTGCGCATCTGTCTTCAGTCCATCAATATGCCGAGAGCGCGGATCATGATATGAATGCAGCAGGCGCAGTGAGACGTGCGGAGTCTGCCAGAGCAGAGTGGAATATGTGAGGCCGCAAGGGTGGCACACCGGCCCCAAACTCTCAAAGTTGGCATATCCAGTAAAATGCAAATGAGGCGAGATATAAGATGCCAATATCGTTGAGGCTGGGACGTACTGCTGTGCTCATGTGCTTCAAAATTTGATCTACCTCTTCAGACATGCACTTTAGCTGCACATACAGTCCGTCCGTATACACCAAGACTTGCGACGACGCTCCCGAGCGAAGGAACCGAGAAGCGTGTAAGATGCACGCCGGAAGTGATCTGAGGGCGTGCGGCGAATGAGACGACCAGGAGAATTTTGTTGAGGTAGCTGTAAGGCACGGCGAAGGACGACTTTACAACAGCTATGTTGCTGGTTCGCAGACAAGGCTGCCATGTACAATGACGTGGGACCTGAGAGGCTCTGTTAGGTCGCGAAACTTTCTCTCGCAATGAACCTGCTTCGAAGAAAACTGTCGAGGCTGTTCCACACAATTCAGATCGATATCACGACGAGTAGCTCGCGTAGAAAGCAGGCTTATGCGATATGTGCTACCGAGCACTGCATGAAGGCTGGAGACATGCTGCAGCTTTGACAGGTGTCACTATGCATGGCCCCTGGTGTAGCGTACCAGTGCGGACGCTTGCCACCCGAAGCCGCATACTGCATGCTTCATACGTGATCTCGGGGGGGCAGCAGCCTTGCGAGGCACTGTTTCTTAGAAGATTTTCATCCTAGTGAGAAGTCTCTACCTAGTCTCATTCCGCGAGTCGAAGTGGATGCGTGACAGGTAACGTGCAGCGAGCATGAAAACGCCATGCGTGGGTTTCTTGCCGGTCGCCTATAGAAGTGGTTTGTCAAATTCAGACCTGTGCAGCTCTGACGCTGACAAAGTTTCCTGTCGATGTGGGGCCGCAGCAGCTGAGAGTTTTGTGTGATCCCCTTAGGTCGCCAACGTGTCAATGTGTAGAGCATAACAGTCGTTCCATAGTAATTTCTGATCCGAGGATCACCATTCAATATCTCCTCGTGTTCTTGAAATGTTCTCTCGGCAAGCTCAATCTAGACCGAGGGCCGAGTTCGATACGAAAAACGCGTGCTGCCGTTGAGGTTGGTCGCCGGGATGTCGTACATATAAAATGCTCTAGTCTCAGCTCGGGCCGCCCTGCTTCACCGCTACGGTGTGACGGAGGGGGATCCACGAGGCGCTTGATGAGGAGTAGATGCTCACGAGACCATGCAGTGTCTGCACTGCTCAGTCGTACTTCTCGCTCTGTTGCTCTCCTTTGACATTAATTTGCTGCAAAGGGCCAAAAAAGCCTGCAGCAATGCACCGCTCTGTAACTGTGCTCGGCAACAGGCGCAAGTAATCGATAATGAGCGGGTGATTAAGTACCTAAACGGGGCAATGTCAAGCAATTCTGAGCAGACTGCTTATTCTATCCCAAGCCCATGTCAGCGGTATCACAAATGGCAAAGTTTTGGAGGGATCGTCCGCCGTGAACCAACGCCGTCGCTACGCTCCCGCCATTCGGTCTGTTTCGAGATAGCCTGATGTTTGGGATTGCACAAATGAACAGGCGTGAGGGTAAAGCTGTCGCCCATGAATGGTGACACGCACTTCGCCAATCGCAGTAATGCATCTTGATCGAGACCGTCAGCTTCGTACGTTAGGCCAGGGCTCGCTCTAATGCAGTCAAATCTTCCACCTGGCACGTGTCCAATAGGACAGACTCAATAAACGTGACGCTGCAGCGCAGATCCCTTTCGCGTTCTTGATCGCTGGCTTCCGTTGACAAACCGGAGCGTGGGTCCTTGAGGCCTCTGAGTGGCTGGACATCCTGACGAGGCTTACGAGACTTGCCTCGTAAGTCAAGGTCGCGCAAGAGATAAATGTGCAGACACAGCAATCTCAGACGTCCTCGTGTGGACAATCTGGATGGTAAAAGGCTAAAAGCTCTTATCCTTCTCAGGCCGACGGTCGCTTTTGTGAAAATTGCGCGGAATGTGGTCGCGAGACCAGGCATAGCTAACAAGTGTTCTGGCGTGGTAGTGGCAACTAGACGTTTCCGATCCACACTGGTCTTGGAGTCGGCCGCAGCGTACAATGAGGCCGAAAAGCCTGTCGGTTGAAAGCAGGTTGGGCATCCACCAAGTGACTAAGTCGCACAGTCCCGCATTCATTTGGATGTCAAGTACCTAGTTTTCAGACTCCGTTAGAACGAAACGAAGAAGATCCGCCTTCAGCATCTTTTCACAACGGTACCAGGTTGCACCTCTGCTTACTCTGAGTCGCGATAGCCGCTGGGGTCTATCGTCGCCGCAGCACAAGCAAAATAAACACCCTTTGATCGTACTCACCAAGGTGACACCCACTGAAACCTCGCTCGAGTTTTCGTCTGAAGACCCACGTCGGGATTGGCCGGCATCCAGGAGTGAGTGGAACCACCCCCCCTCCTCTCCAGGGAATCTGGCCTCACCGGTTCTCGGGGGAACTCCATCCTTGATAAACCTGATCTACGATGGACGAAGACTTCCAATGTGTCACAATCCACGGACGGGTATTCCAAAAGGTCTCGATAGACCATAGCATATACTGCGTCCCAGTAGCCAGCGATGAGCTGGAGGAAGACAGGCTAACGGCTCAACACGATGTACTGTTCAGACTGTTCGGCAATGCCCTCTTTTCTCTTCACATGAGGATCAAAGATCCCACGAGGATTTTGGAATGTGGGTATGGGGGTGGCGACTGGTCGGTTCAATGTGCCGAGGAGTACGAGGACTGTGAGGTACGTTCTCTGGACATGTGTGTCAACCTCTGCTGACAGTGCGAGGTTACTGCCGTGGATGTATATCCTATGCTTATCGCCGACCAGCCGGAAAATCTTAATCTCTGTGGTTATAACCTCAACGACCGCCTCAACGATCCAGAAATCTTCCAAGCCAGGGCTTACGATCTCATTCACTCTCGCTGCGTCGGCGCAGGCATCAAGAGAAATAGATGGACATCATACATCCAAGACATGAAATTGCTTCTGCGACCGAACGGTTGGATCCAGATCGTTGAGTACTATCTCAATATACAATCGAGCAGTGGGAGATTGACAGATGAGTCGGCGGTCCGAAGATGGTGGTTGAAGTATTCAGAAGCAATGAGCCGGATGAATCGCGATCCGAGGATTGGCAACCGACTGCAGAGTCTTTTTGCTGATGCAAGACTGGGAGACGTCCGGGTCGAAGCGATACAGTTACCGATTGGCGACTGGGAAACAGGTAAGCGATGCCCTGTCATCAACTATCCTTGATGCCATGTATACTATACATAACGTGTAACAGCTGACATATTCGACAGATCCGGTCAAAGCCAGTATAGGAAGGGACACTGTTGCAATGATGGGCGACCTCCTGGAGTCACTCAGCCTCTGGCCTTTGACGCAGCAACTCAACTACACGGCGACTGAATTCCAACGGCTCATCAGCGAAGTTCGTGCAGAGTTGCGAAACAAAGAGCTGAAGTTGTATGTCCCCATGTAAGTGTACAATGCCGCCACATTCGCGCAAGAATCTAACGTCACATAGATACGTCGCTTGCGGCCGCCGCAGTGGATCGTGTTGAGGGCGTTTATCGATAATCGTGCTGATCGACTTGGCGGTAGGTCGAGTGAAACCGCAGATGAGCGTTGAGGATGTTGCCGTTGCTGAAATTCCGTCGAACTCAGGTAGCTCCCCAACACACACTTTTAGACCTACATACTGCTTCGCATCGCCTTCATCCTGCAATTCTAAGGCTGCAGTCGTTTGCCGTGCCGTGAGCAGATTCGTGAGCCATCGTGGACGGGAATGTGCTGTCGATGCCATCATCTGCCGAGTGTCCGGAGCGAAGACGGCGCAAAAAGTGACGCACTGCAGACTCCCGAGCCCAAACGAGACGTTCCCATCGATAGACGTGCTGCAGAACAAAGGTCGTAGCAAAGCCCGCTACGACCGTGGATCTAGACTTACTCGACATCAGTTTGGTGACACATGTAGGCTATTCTTAGAAGAGCCTGCAACAGCGTGCCGATGTTGGAGACCTCTTGGTATTTTCACTGACTGGGATTGGAAGGGTGAAGGTTGCCTTGCACGGTACCTTGGGCTAATAGGGTTTGGCTGGGTGACGCCTCAGCGAATCAGTGACGCAACGTTCACCGCGGGCACTGCCCGGGCTACGAATCTGGGCAAAAGAATGTAAATGACAAGAGCCTGGTCATGAGAGGAAGCGGGAAGAAGTTTTGAGGACGTGGAAGAGCATGCGTGGACGCTCGGTGGAGGGAGGAAGGAACGATCACCACCCACATCAAAAGAAACGCTCGCGCGCTCTTCACATCTTCCGCCAACGGGCACAAGCAACGCCTGGACGAGCCCGACCGTCTCACTGGTTGGCGCACAAAGCCGGCAGCAGGCCTCGATACCGGCAGTCTGGTACCGAAGCGATGTTGTGTGAGTAATGGCGCTTTTTTGCCATTCGATATCCTCCCTTCCAAGAGCTAGTGTAAGTTTTCGTCTGGCAACGAGTGCCATGCTTCAAATTGTTGTTTCATCAGAAGTCAAAAGCTGCTGACTTTATGTGCCTACTGACGAGCACCGCCACCTTTCAAGTCGTCCTCAAGGACAGTCATCTGCGGCGAAGCTCTTTGTATCGAGGTAAAGCTGTTAAACACCGAAGTCCAATGAGGCTTAGAGTACCCACTGTTTACACGATCTGACTGAGATGGCTGGGATAAGCGCGTGCATTGGGGAAGCGGCCTGTCGCTTCGCGCGCATACGCTAAGACACACATGTTGAAGGCCTCAGTGGCATCTGATCCTTCGTACTAGGTAATTGTACCGAACATGCAGCACGGAAGGTCAAAATGCCCGTCTGCCTCGACAAGCAGCACCTAGACTACCGTGTCCGTGCGCACAATGCGCGGCTCACCGCAATGCGCCGAACCACCAAAATAACCTTTACTTCGCAACTCAACATCACGATGACTTTAGAAGAAGCTCTTGCAGCTTGTAATACTTATAAATACAAGGAAAGAGATCCTGTGGACTGAAATGGCAAAAAAGCATGGTGTCGTCCGCTCAACGCTGACGCGGAGATTCCGACACGAAACGCGATCGTGTAAAGAGCGGGCAATTGCACAGCAGAAGCTCACCTCACAACAAGAAGAGGAGCTTGAAGTATATAGAAGAGCTTACTGCTCGTCATAAACCTCCTACAAGGCAGATGATCGCGAATTTCGCGTCATCAGTAGCCCAGGAGTCAGTCGGCGAGGGGTGGGTGACTGTGGGTCACCGAGTTTATTAACACTACCTCTAACGTACTCTATCACCGAGCCGGTCATATCACTAAACTAGTTACTTAAAATCCCACCAAAAAACACAGAAACTATACCCCTGCATCTTAATAACTACTTAATAGAATCTTCTAAAAACTTTAGAATAGAGCTGTATCTATACTAATAAAACTATTTAAAAGTCTTAGACTAATAGCTAGTATAGATGTTAAGATAGCCTGTATCTACCCCTGTATTTTAGTATCTTCTAAACAATATCTACAATATAGGGCTAAGCACTCTAAGACTTTTAAACAGTCTTATTAGTATAGATATAGCTCTATTCTGAAGTTTTTAGAAGATTCTATTAAGTAGTTATTAAGATGCAGGGGTATGGTTTCTGTGTTTTTTGGTGGGATTTTAAGTGACTAGTTTAGTGATATGACCAGCTCGGTGATAGAGTACGTTATCCATCTCACCCCTAAACACTCAACAGAAATGGACACTTAGCACAAAGTAGCCTATTACGTTTGCTAAGCGCCGCTCTAAGCTCCAAATTAGGTTTAATTGCAGGTACAACTACAAGCAAGCCCTCTGTAAGGATCTAGAGATTATACAAGGCAAGTTCTACCTTCTAGAAAATACTAAAGCTAAGTAACTAACGTAGATTATCACCGAGCCGGCCATATCACCAAACTGGCCACTTTCTCTTAGCACAACCACCTTTTACCCTAACACAACATGCCTTAACAATAACAACTTTAGAATACTACTAGAGAAGGCAGAGTTATCCTTACTATCTAGGCCTTCTATGCTAGCTAATTTTGCAGTATCTACAGCGCTGCTAGAGTGTTGAACATACCTTATTAGTAGGTCTCTAATTACCTTTATAATATTACGTTTCAACTAGACGTACACGCTAATTGCTAGAAACTTACTATACTAGAGGAGTAGATAATTATCTAGTATATACTTAACCTTAATTCGTGAGGATTTGCGCCCTAGCTATGTAAGGTGGCAGATATGGCTAATAAGATACTTAGTGTGCGTAGTGAAGAGCCTGTTGGCAAACTATAGGCTAGCAGGCTTGTGATGCGTTTAGATAAGCTTAAAATGGCCTTTAATTAAGCTAAGGATAGATAGAGGATACTATAGGAAGACCCTAAGATAATTAGTGCGTAGTTTAAGCTAGTAGAGGATACTTAAGTTAAGTATAGTGTTTGTAACAATAACATACATAACTTTAATAAAACTAGGTTCTAGATAGGCGTTGCTTTGTCTTTAAAGGTTGTAACAGGCTTAGAGAGACGTGCTCGGCCAGAGCTTGTTCAGCCAGGTGATCGCGAGTGGGTTACCGTTATCCAGAGCATCTGCGCCGCTAGGTATGCAACCCCGCCTTTCATCATCTACAAAGGACGCGTCCACATCTCTGCCTAGTATAAGGAGATAGATATACCCTACAATTAGAAGCTCTTAGTCTCTAAGAACAGTTAGATAAACAATATGCTTAGCCTTAAGTAGTTAAAGTACTTTAACATGCATATAAAGACATATTAGGTAGGAGTGTATAGGTTGCTTATCTTAGACAGCTATAAGAGCTATCTTAACTAGGAGTTTAAGGACTATTACCTAGAGAACTAAATCCTTACTCTCTATATACTACCTTAATTATTGTATATCCTCTAGCTACTTAATATAGTCTATTTCTTGCTATTAAAGTGTAAGTACTCCTAACATGTTTAAGACTTAGTATACTAACATATCTTCTATATTAATAAGGAAGGCTTCCTACTAGCCTTTAGGGACGTGTTCCTTAATATATTTATAAAGGTTAACTACTAAAAGGCCTTTAAGGCATTAACGTACCTCACGGGTTCGTGCACCACACAGGTTCGTGCACCACTTTTGCCAAGCCCCCACCAACTCTACCTCTATACGTGATGCCTTAACAACAACACTAGATAGAGCCTTCTAATGAGCGTCAGATACAGACTGCCCTTTAAGCTCTTAAACAAGACGCGACACTCTCCTTGCAACGCGCTGCAGCTATCTACAAAGTCACTTATACAATACTAAGCCGCCAACACGCAGGACAGACTCTACAAGCAGATTGCTGGCCTAAATTAAGGAATCTGACAAAGACTGAGGAGGGCGTAGTTGTTGAGCATATACTTGACCTTATCTCGCGTGGATTCCCCCCCAGGCTTGCAGCTGTAGCTGATATGGCCAATTCCTTACGCGCAGAGCGCAATCTAGGCCAGGTTGGCTTAAACTGGCCCAGTACGTGGGTTATGCACCGCCCTGAGTTCACAATGAAGTTTAATCGCAAGTACGATTACAAGAGAGCACTCTGCGAGGATCCTAAGGTTATCTAGGGCTAGTTTCGCCTAGTAGCCAACATAAAAGCTAAGTATAGTATCTAGGATAAAGACACGTATAACTTTGACAAGTTAGGCTTTATGATAGGCTAGATATTGACTGGGGCGGTTGTTACAGCTTTAGAGAGACGAGGAAGGCTAAAGGTAATACAGTAAGGCAATAGGGAGTGGACAATGGTTATCTAGGGCATCAACGCAACAGGGTGGGCTATTCTACCCTTCATCATCTTCAAGGGCCGCTATCACCTCTCTGCCTGGTATAAGGAGGAGAATCTGCCTTAGGACTGGGTTATTGCAGTCTCTGAGAACGGCTGGACGACAAATGAGCTTAGGCTGCAGTGGTTAAAGCACTTTGATGAGTATACAAAGAGGAGGGTTATAGGCGCTTATTGGCTCCTTATTATCGACGGCCATGAGAGCCACGACTCGCTCGATTTCCAGCAGTACTGCAAGGAGAACAAGATTATCACTATCTGCATGCCTCTGCACTCATCGCACCTCCTGCAGCCTCTTGATGTAGGATGTTTTGCCCCTTTGAAGAAGGCGTATGGGCGCCAAGCCGAAGATCTTATGCGCAACTAGATCACCTACATCACAAAACTTGAGTTCCTACCATGCTTTATACGCGCCTATAATGCAGCAATTACTTCTAGTAATATCTAAGGAGGGTTTTAAGGCGCTAGATTAGTCCTATTTAACCTAGAACAGGTCATAACAGCCCTTAACGTCCAGTTGCGTACTCTATCACCACTACTGCCTATTAACACTAAGTCCTAGCAGTTGCAAACCCTAAGTAATACCCTTAAACTAGGGTCGCAATTGACGCTTGTTAAGGAAAGGATTTAGAAGCATATAGATAGCTCACTAACGTCTATGGTGGAGGCCTTTAAGAAGGTCTCAAAGGGGGCAGCGATTATCGCGCACAAGCTAGTGTTGGCGCAAAAGGAGATCGCAGAGCTTCGAGCGGCAAACGAGGCTGCTACGCGACGTAGATCGCATAAAAGAAAGC